ATAAGTTATATAAGAAGAAAAATTAATTAACACGAATTAATTAATAATATGAACAATTAATATGACTATAATTACTTGTTTTTTTTTAAGAAAAAATGTTTTAGGCTACTCTTTATTAAATTTTAGGTTTTTATGAACTTCAATGTAATGCAGCAGTGACATCGTATAACCTTGGTGCAAATCGTCTATCTGTATTCAATAAATATGTTACTGATAAAAGTCCAGGAAAATTCACTAAAAGTTATAGTAAAAGAAAGTTAGGATCAATTAACAAAAAAAATAGACGTAGCTGTTTTTTTTAAAACACCTAAACGATCTGTAGTGTCTCAGACAAACCTCGGACCAGATGAAAATTATGGAAATGTGTCACATGACCCATTTTTAGAAATGACTGAATTTGAAATTGAAAATTATAAACGTACATATATAGAAAAATTATCGCTTTCTGAATACCAAGTGAAAACATTACAAATTAGAACTAAGAGACAAAATCAATGCGAAGAATGGTACACTGAAAGAAAAAAAACGGTTGGTATTCACAAAAATAAATTTAACTGGTTTAATATATTAACATTGTCATTCGATTGTATTATTATTTATAGACTTACTGTTTCTCTTTTTGGTAATATTTGTAAATTGCGTGAAAAAAACATCTCGTGTGAAAACGGTAATGATATTTTATTTGGGACATTTACCGGAAATGTCACAACTAGATATGGAATTGCTAATGAAGTAGTAGTAGAAAAGAACAATTGGAAGCACAATTAAAAATAAAAATTCTGCCTTCTGGTTTATTTGTTGATATGAATTTACCATTTTTAGCAGCTTCCCCAGATGGTATTATAGGTGATGATTCGTTGGTAGAAATTAAGTGTCCAGCTAGCGCTAAAGAACTTTCACCAGTAGAAGCGGTAACTATTGGTAAAATTAAAAGTTGCTTGGTAAATAATGGACAATTACAACTAAAACGAAGTGATAATTATTATTACCAAGTTCATGGGCAATTATATATCAGTCAGAGAATGTATTACTATTTTTGTCAATGGACCCCAAAAGGTAATCAATATTGTATTTAATAATTAAAATATTAATTTAAATTAATAATATCTACTAACAATATTGTTTTTCAGGTTTGATGTACGAAAAAATTCAACGCGATGATGAATTCTGGGAAAATAATATGAAAGTTAAACTAGAACTTTTTTATTTGAAACATTTTTTGTCGAGCTTGATAAAAGAAGAAATATTAATGACAAATTAAAAATAAATAGCAATAATTAATTAATGAATAGATTACGGTACCTATATCACAGAATATAATAATATTCCTATAATATGCCTATATATTTATTATGAAAATTATCCATGTAAAACTATTATTGTTATGAAAACAAATAAAATTAAAAAAAATCTACAAATTTAGTTATATATTTTATATACCTAATTATATTTATATATTTTTATATATATTTATTTATAAAGTCGGGTAGTCCGGTCTAGTATAATACTAAACGCATCACGGTATGGGCTAATACACTGTTATTTGATAACTGAAGATAATATTGCGTAGTGTGTGGAAGTACGAATAAAACGGTCCGTGTTGTTCGAACACTGTACAATGATAGAAAATGGATAGTGTTTGTCGTTCATCGGTGTACGAACTAAAAACGTGCGAACTACACGGTTCATGGTACATGGGCAAATAAAACCGTAGTGTGTGGCCACTTTTACGGACCGATCCAAAATGTTTTTGACTGATAATCCGGTCCACGGTCTACTTTATTAAATGTTATTTAAATACTGGTCTAAAAATAATATGAAGCCGTTGATTCGGTCCAATTTTGGTCTTTCATTAAGAGGGCTACAGTCGTTGAAAAAAAGTCGCTTTTAGACCAAAAAGCTAGACAAACCTGCAGAAATATGGTTTGACGGATTTTAATTTTTTAAACGGAATTTGATTAATTAATAAGTTTTCTTTTCTTTGAAGGTGGTGATTTTGAAATTTTTTTAATTTATGATAAAAAATATAAATAAAAAAAAACAAAAATTTTGTAACATTATAACTTACCCGTAAAACCGATATTAAAAATCGCCTCTTTAGAAGCCTAGAGAACTTCTCAATCAATAAAACACCGTTTACTATATTAAAATCCGTCCAACCAAATTCCTATAGTTAAGTCTAGATTTTCGGTCTAAATACCAATTTTTTTTTCAAATGAAAAAAGTATGGCATTTAATATTATTGACTTGCGCGTACATAAATTGACGTCCATTATAAATAAACAGACTAAATGACCGACCGGTTACGGCTAGAAGTATAGTTCCACGAACTGCGCTAAATTTTAAGATTACAAGTAATAACCACCATGACCCATATATTGTATAATTTCAACATTCAGTGATAGTGTTTTTATTGTCGTCTGTACCAGATTGATTATAGTGTATTTTTCTGATATCAATATCTGTAGTCTGTACTGTCTACTGTGCACATATATGATATAATACACAGTATACACATTTTTTTTTTTTTTGGTTATTTGATATTTTTGGTTTTTTCGCTATGAACAAAAAAGGTAGGCGATATGGTAGAAAAACAAGAACCTTGCTGTCAAAGCAAAGAAAAAAAAAAATGCAATATTCATTACATTCATACAATATTGGTAAGTTTCTATCTTTTTCCGTATTATGAATGATAATTTAATGTATGAATATTACCTATCATTTCATTAATAAGATATTTTTATATATTTTATTAATAATATACCTATTTGTTTTTATATTAGTAAGATTAATAAATTCCACTTTTTTATTATTATAGAATAATGATACTATTGTCACGGTCGATACTGTCGATACTATGCCTTCGACGCAAAATATATTATCCCCGATAGAAAACCAAACAATGTTATTAGAAACATCAACAATTAGTGATAGAAATGATACTCAAAATGATGAGTAATTTCTAAACATAATTATAATTAATTTTATTATGAAGTGTATTTCGTATTTTGAATGAAACGAGAAATGTATTAGTTCTATCATAATTTTTTTTTTCATTTGTATCGCATAACTTATGGATGTTGATTTTCGAAAAAATTGTTTTTTTTTTTTTTATTATAATTCAAAAAGTAATGATTTTAGGGAATTGACATTTCTATAAAATATTTATTTGGTTATTTTCCAGAAATGATGTAAATTTCAAATGGAAATGCCTCAAGTTTAATTTATAATGTCAACCACAATTCGGTTAAAGGTTACAAAAGTATTGTTGCTAAATTTGTAGGTGGCAAAAGAATACATTTTTCTCATAAAGGGTCATACCAAGCGCGATGTACAGCTGCAGTGTTATCTTATAATGCAGGACCAAAATTTATTATCATTTTGCATAAAAAAATTTGCAATATTAGTCCTGGTGATTTTACGAAGCGTTTTATAAGTGGAAAACAGAAGAAAAAAATATGTAAAATGAAAAGAAAACTTTTATTTGAACCAAGAAGTAGACGAGTTACTAAAAATAACTTACCAGATATGACTATGGAAAATGTGAAGAAAATATGTGTGAAGAACTGTATATGGATGGAAATGATAACGAAAAAAAAAAATTGGAATATATAAACAATAAAATAATTAAAAATATCGATGAAATTAAATTTATAGAAAAATCGACTACACTTCAATCAGAATACGAATTATGTTACAAAGAAAGAAAAATTCGATTAACCGCATCGAATTTTGGAAAAATTTGTAAACTTCTACCATCGACTTTTGGAGCCAATACAGTTATATCAATATCGTATAAAACATTTTATGCTAATGAGCATACGAGATATGGTAATGAGTGCGAACCTATTGCAAAGGCAAAGTTTGAACAAACACGTGCACGGTACCTCGGCGGGTATATTATAATCCGAGTCAAAGGAATTAAGGCCAGTCGAGAATCGAGTACTAAAGCACCCAGTTCGTATTCATGCATTTTCGCATATTTGTCGCTGTTCTTTTCATTGGACTTTTTATTATGTGTGATTGATCCACTGAGTTCACATTAAAGTTTTTGGGATTATACCAAAATGAACTTGTTATATGGGAACTGATGCATTCGTATCACAAGAACAGAAAACAAATCAACGATGCATGGATTCTATTAAGCAAACAACTGGAATGTTCAGTAACCCAGTTAAAAAAAAAAAAAAGACTAGCTCATGTCTACACTTAGGTTAGCATTTGCGTAAAAAAAAAAGCTTCAGTCCGATCAGATGAAAATTATATTTACAAGCCAATATTATTTGATTATATGAAGTCATTTTTAGCATCATTTTATGAATGTCTGTTAACTGTTAACCGGATTACTGAATATAAAAATTCGAGTGTCTCTAACCCGAGGCTGTATTGTGTACACTTGCGCTTCCTCATTAAGACTGTTTCGGCGAATGTGTACTGCTGGTATAAGATAGTAGCTGTAGTTAATAGGATATCAGATCATGAAAGTTTACGGAGAAATCATTCAATAGCCACCAACCAAGCAGAATTCTTTAATTTTAATAAAAAAAAATAAAAATAAATGCATGTATAATTATAAAAACCTAAATTTACCTGTATATTTGTAAATTCAAATACATAGGGCCGGATGGGGGGGTTATTTAAGATTAAATTCATAATATTCTTAGTATATCTTAATTCAAGGTCCTTTATGGTAATATTTAAAATGATATTATTATTATGTCCCGTATTTAATGAAAATTATTTTGTTACTCAATTTTTAATATATACTAATCATATTAAAATGAAAATATCATTTTACTATAATATGTAAATTATTTATTATTTAATAAATAATAATTAAATATCATTAAAAGAAAAATTTGGAGGGGGTGGAAACTCCTTACACCCCTCTTCCCGCTAACTACATCACTGATAACCACGCATTTGGAGCCGAATACATCCGAAATGTAAAGTTAATCGTTTGGAGCCTAAAGTAAATAAAATAAATAACACATAATACGAACTTTATGCAGATGAAAATACATGTTTTATTTAGAGTATATTTTGCAGGTACATGTCTTGTCCTCGTGATTGAATAGCGCACTTTATGAGTCATTTTCGGCATCTAGAGCATCGATGACGAAAGCGGGAAGTGCGAAAGCCGCTTTGTGCATGTCGGTAGTGTAATAACGTAGCTTCATGTTCTTTCGTTGTTGGTTAGTTAACGTGTGTATGGGATTCGCAAAGTCCGTGTTCTATATAGACGAAAAAAATATTAAAAACTACGTATGTAAAACAAGAAATAATAATAATAATAATAAATTTAGTAATTATTATTTATTAATTATATATATACAGTTTTAATTTTTAGCCAATTGTAAATGGTAAAATGCTTCACATAGTAAAAGACCTTTAATCTGATGACTATAGATAAAAAATATAAAACATGATCAAAAATGTAACATATTTCATATCAGTTTAATAAATATTGATTAAAAAAAAAAAAAAAAAAAAAAATGATAGATTTGTGAACCATTTACTAAAAATATAGGGATATTAAAAATATCCATACAGTCGATCTGAAATTTCTAGCTCTCTTGTGAACCCATTGGCGAAGTATATTTATACCCTACCACCAGAGATGTAGTCAGGTTTTTTTAGTGGGGAGTTAGGTTTATACAATAGGTACACATAAATATATTAAATCCGCGCTCTTGATGTAGACAGTTCGCAGCAGCCTTGTTACGTCACTGATTAGCCCGTAAAAAAGCTAATTCTATTTCTGAGCACAATTATACCTAAATAAATACATTTTTGAAAGAGATAATATTATAATATATACGTAAGTCAGTAATTATTGATAGATTAAACAAAATTAATTCAGCATGTAAGACAATCGTCTATCATGTTTTCAATGTATTTTTTTTATACATCAAGTTTTAATAAAATATTAATGAATACTTACAAAATATAGTAGTGAAATAAAATCAACCAAAAATTTATCCTTACATATATAATACAAAAAAAGGATTATTTTGGTTGGCATTAATCTAAGGACCCCTAACATTCGAACCAAATCGCAGCTAAACAAAGTGAATTTTCAGCTATTATATTTGCCTAGTAATTGTTCTTATTTAATTATCCTTTAGGTTTTTACCTTGTCGAGACTGCCGAGTGCGAATCCGATCTGACCCGCTGGGTAAGTGGACACGTAAGACGTCGCGTACGCTGCCTTAGCGAATACTTCCTTGCAATGGTTGCGCATGGATGTTGCGTTTTTCAAATGTCCCCAGAAAGTATCAGCTTGCGAACATACAATACCGCCGGGCCTTAGAGCACGTTTCATAAGTTGAAAATATGATTTTTGGAACAAAGATACGGCTGGACCTAATTTAAAATTAAAAAATGCGCGAAATAATTAAAATCCTGTAAAACGTACAAAAAAATAAAAAAATGCATAGATATATATTATAATTTGATAATTGATAATAATCGCTCTTACATTAGCTGCTAGTAAAATATAATTTTTAAAATTAATTATAGGCATTGTATTGATAATATAATTATTATCAGCAGTTTTTACAAAATAGCAAAATATCACTGGTATTTTAAAATAGCAATAGCATTAATAAATGTTTAAAAAAATAACAGTTAACCATTACTATAATATATATAGATTATATTGTATGGTCTAAACATCGGTAAAGCACAAGAGGGAAACGTCAACATATACCTTTAGTTGCGCTATTGTATAAGTATAGTGTATAATATTATTATTATATTAAAATGTTAGGTAATTATAATTTGTTAATTTATTTGAATTATTACAATACGTATTTATATTTTGTACATAATATACATTACCGATAGGATCCGAAGAGTCAGTTATGATGACGTCGAAGTACTGAACATGTTCTTCCATGAATTTAAAACCATCAGCTACGTGTAAGTTGAGTTTAGGGCTGTTAAATCCTTCAGCCATGAACGGCAAATATTTTTTGGACAGTTCGATGACGCGGTCGTCGATTTCTACTTGGTCAATGGTCTCAACCAAAGGGTGTTTGGCTACTTCTCTGGCAACTCCGCCATCACCACCGCCGACGATGAGCACCTGTATTAAGGCGGATAGTCAAAAACCATTATTATTATGACCAATCGGAATTCGTTTGAATACTAACTCTTTGCGGTTTAGGGTGACTGTTCAGCGGCAGAAACGAAATCATCTCCTGATAGGAATATTCGTCGAACTCCGTACATTGAATCATCCCGTCAAGTACCAGTACGACTCCATGCGATTTCCTTTGGACAAATACAGGGTTGAAAACAATCTTTTGAGACAGTTTCACATATCACATGCATCAGGTCACATCGAGAGCGCAATATATAATATTAGATTTTATTATTTTACTCGCAACTACAGATGACCGATGGATCAATAATGGACGAAGGTATCATTCAAATATGTAGTATGTTGGGTTGTATAACACCTTAAGTATAACTATTAAATTTATATGTTCGTTTAATTTATAACACTTCTCCTCAAACTAGGTTTTAATAATTTTGTGGGAAAACAATTTTAGGGAGTTAAAAATTACGCTAGGGGCGAAATTCCTTCTAAATAATCCTATCGGCTGTGCGTAAACTCTATAGGATTTATTTGTATTTATGTATATTAGCCGTAGTTTTTCTAAACATCTCTTCTAGAGAATGGTCGAAGCTTTTTTTCAGTTATTTTTTAACAAATTATATTAATTATTGAAAATGTTGAAAAAAAGGAAAAATTGCATTGTATGTAAATGTAATAAAAAGTTGAAATTTCGAAAAAACGCTTCGACCGTCCTCTAAAAGAGATAATATAGGATTATTGGACTTTTACAGAATTAAATTCGGCCCAGTCAAAGTCCCACAATTTGTTTAGACATATTTGTCTTTTATTCATGTATTTATGACGGGCTAGAACCACCTTAACAAATATTTTTAAATTTTTTTTTAATATTGTTTAATTGTAATTTTTTAAATATAATTACACAACTATGGTGAATGAATTTAGTATACATAATATATATATATAATTTATTAATTTGGCATGGTTATTAATAATCAAGTTGGTCAAAATAATTGGATCGACACTCTTACTTAGTAAGTCGAAACTTATTTTTTTATTAGATTATGTTTATAATGAAATATATATTTTATTAATTTTTCTCGCGAAATATTTTTACAATATTGTGTTTTGATTTTTGAGGATATTTTTAGAATTATTTTTATAAAAATAAAAGGTAATGGGCGATAAAAAAAGGTTAAGATTATTTCCATATTCCATATTTATTCTTATAAGTACTTCACAAAAAGTAAAAATTCTTCTGTTAAGCTGATTACACACTAAATTAGCGTCTAAAACGCGTAGTGTGTAACCGTGTAGCTTAATAGTATCTTTATTTAAGTCGATTTTATTTCTGTGTCTTTGCATTAAACACATAAATTTCATACCAACTACTAAATAATTAAATAATAATAATTTAGTAGAAGAATAAAAGTACATAAATGACTTACCTACATATAACTACATCATAAAATTAATTTTATTTATATTAGCAGGAAATGTTTAAATATATATAATTTATACATGATATTATTATAATTACTAATTTTCAATTAATGATGAATTATGGCATTTTATACTTGATAAAATAAAGAGGTCATTTCTTTAAGCCGATAAACGTTTTTTTAGAAGATAAATTTTTAATTTTTTTAGACGCTATCTATTTTTGTTCACATAAAAAAGGTCAATTTGTTTTATTAGTATCATTACTAATATTTATAATCAATGGTTTTATCTTAAGCCACCCTACTTTCACATAATGATCGGAAAATACAAATAATTAATAAGTAATAACTAATTTGTATGCGTTTTTAAAAGTTTTGAAGATAGTGAGTAAAAATTAGTACATTATGCTCTAGGGTAGCACTTATGCAAAGGTCAAAGGAGTGAATACGCATGGAAGATGTTATCATTCCAAACAATATTATTTTGTTTAATTAGTATTGACATATATGTGATTTTTCTCGAAGAGAGATTGCGTATACTGTTATAATAGTGATTATTGTTTATTTAGTAAAATCAGTAGGTAACATAAACAAAATATTAGAAACTATAACTTAATACTTTAAAACTATTCTATAGTTAAATATATAACATTGCCAATTACTAATATTAATATGGCAATAAAGTAACTAGATAATTATAATTTAATATTTGAACTGTTGTATACATCACTATCTATTTGATAATATCAAATATTGTACGTATAAAGTATATTATACTTATATATTAGGTATCGCACATTCGCACGTTGTTCGGACAATTCGTCTATAATTAATTAATTTTACTATGTTATTCAACATAAAGTATTGTAATTAGCATCAGTATAAGCATAATCGTATCAGAGGCGGATCCAGAGTCGGGATACTGTGGATCAAGCCATTTCAAGAGGTCATTTATTAGGGATGAAACTGAATTAGAAATGAATATCTTGTAAAAAAAAAAAAAAACACAATATGCTCATAAAAGTGTATAAATATATTTATATTATATTTTAGAATTAGTGATACCACCGATAATAACTTATTTACGATTAATAAATATAATCTTATTTTATCAGCGCAACAAACGTACGGAATAAAATATAATTTACTTAACTTACTACTAAAACGATATAATTTAAAGTATAAATTATGAATTGAAAAATTTTAAATTTTGAATATATATGGCATTCATTTTTCAAGTTACTCCGATGGGCCAACTGTCCAAGAGTCCAAATCAAGGTCTAAAAAGAGAAAAAATTTCCAAGAGGCCAATTTTGTCAACAAATATTAACTGTGGGTCAGCTGACACCCTGAACCTCTCCCCCCTTGATCCGCCCCTGAATCATATACGTGTTACATAAAACATTATTTATTACTATGATACTATATTTGATATTGATTAATATTACAAGTTCAAGTATGGTACTATCTTGAGTTTTATAACAATAATGAGATAAAGAGTATCTTCAGAAGATTCTTTACAGGAGTTTTTTTTATACAGTATCAATTAGGAACTCTAATCATACCTCAAGTATTTAAAGTATTTAAACTAAAAACAAAAAAATATTTTTTATTATTATTTATTGTAGTAATAACAACTTATTTATATAATCTATCGAATTTAAAATCATACAAAAAATATATGCACACGTGGTCATTCCTATCTGACACAGGACTATACATGATATATTATTTCACTATTATAATCATTTATTTAGAATACAACATTTATTTGATAAGATATCTATATTCTAAATGTTTCAATGGAATCGACTACCTATTATTAAAAAAAAAACTGATTATTTGATTATGTACGAGTTTTCTATTAAAATCAAATCTCTAACGTCCAAAACAAGAACATTAAAAAATTATCATTAATTACTACATTAAATTTGAATCGATTTCAACTAATCTTATTTTAATTCAAATTCCCTGTTCATTTATTTTTTTTAGTTAAATTTCTATCATTATTAAAAATTTTAAGTGCGCAATCAGATACCAGCAAAATAGTTTCATAACATCATAAATTTAATTAAAAATTTTAATATGCTACATTAATCTAATTTTCAATCAAGCAGAATGACGTTTTGGATGAATTAAAAATCCATTAATTATAAATAAGAACATTAAGTGATTTTTTTAAGTTTAAAAATTGCAGCCTACAAGTAATACAAGAATATACTTATTAAATTGTATTATTTATATTAAACAAATTAAACAAGCAAGGTTAAATTAAATAAATTAGAATAGTAGGTGGTAGGTTAAAATGAATTATTGAATAATTTAAAGATTTTTTCTGTTATAATTAATAATAAGTAATATTTTATTCTGCGTATTATCTATTATATTTTCACAATATTAAGTGCAACGATAATCGTTAACATAGATAACGGCGCTTTAATGAGAATCTATATGTAAATAAAATAATGGATTGTTAGTGTGTTTAACTTCAAATTATAGATGTAAATTATCGGATATCGGAAAGTAGATTTATACATATAATATCTTTATTTACGAATGATACATTTTTATATTGAAACATTGCTCTAAAAATTCTGCAACTATATAAATATATTACGTTTTTATAATAATATATACTAAGAAAATCCGTTGTGTTATTTTTTATAGTACATTTTATATAATAATTTATGTAGAAATAGTAATAATAATAAGAAACAAAACGTATTTAATCAGTGTGAAAAATATATTGCAGTACTTATACTTAATATGTATTCAAAATAACGTGGAAGTATATTACATATATTTATAAATATATTCTTAAATGCATGAATTTCTATTTACACAGGTATACATTACCAATTAATTACATGTTATAATATTTCTGTTACAGATTGAATATGAGTGTTTTTAAACGATTTATTATAATAACCCGTTAATAAGTGTATTTACTTTGGTTTTGCTACACTTAAGTTTTTAATTTTGTGGAAGTTTTGAAGGGCGTTTTTTTTCATATTGAGGTTTGATAGGTGTATTATATAATATTAATCACTATCTATACTTGTAAAATTCAATTAGATTAGGCATATTTATATAGCTATGTAAATGTTGAAGGACAATTTAAAAAATGATAGGCGAGTGAACTTTGTAGTTAATATACTTTTCTATATATTAATATGAAGCATGTTTATTAAATACTATAAAATCTCTAAATTAAATATAATTACTAATTATTTAGTCTTGATAGAAGATATTTATAATAGTCATTTTTTTTATTAAACTATTAATTTAATTTGATTTTCTAAATCCACGAATTATTTTGAGGTGATAAAGCTATAATTTTGAGAAAATCTTATATTGTAATATTGAATTGTAATTTGTATTCTGTTCAATCATCAAGAAATTTAGTTTCTTAAGTACAATTTGAGACAGACTTAATTTTATTTTACTTTCAACTATTTAAAAATAACACATATATTTTGAAATTAGTAAATTTTATGAAAACACTATCTTCGTGTTATAACAACGAAATCGGTTTAATTGTGGATATTTTATTTTTTTTTAAATAATTTTTATAATTTATTAGAATATTTACTTTTTATTGAAAATATGTCACTTTCGAGAGTTTAATTTTATCTAAATTCTTCCCGATATTACTCTAGGTAAAATTAGGTATGATATATTAGTTTTGACGAAAAAATCTAAAATATTAGATATAATATAGTAATGAAAATATATGGATTAGAAATATATTATGTATTAGACGTAATAATTTAATTTTTAATAATTTTAAATAATTTATATAATTTATTTATAATGAAAAAAAATTCTCCATTGTATTTCTTCAGTAAAGAGAAACCCAGCAGAAGCGCACATTTTAAAAACGCAGTAATTTTTTTAATTTTGGGTTGGCAGCACTGTTCCAATATTTTTCTTGTCTTAAAAATCCCCAATGTTTTATCCAGTGGCGTAGATACAATTTTTTTCTGGGGGACGGGGGGTGTTTAAGAGTAAGTTTTTAAGTATTCTTAGTATATCTTAAAACGAGGTCATATGTAATAATATTGCATTTAAAATGGTATTATTATTATGTTCCGTATTTAATGAAAATTATTTTGTTATTCAATTTTTATTATATACCTAATCACAGTAAAATCAAAGTATTTTACTATAATATGTAAATATTAATAAATAATAATCAAATATCATTAAAAAAAAATCTGTGAGGGGGTAGAAACCCCTTACATCCTCCCCGTAACTACGCCACTGGTTCTATCGCAGAGTATTTGCATTTTTGGCATTGATTATTTACTCGACATAATTTTTCATCATTAAATTGAAGATGTTTATTATCACATACATTTTTTTTGTTTAATTTCAATGGTTTTTTGCTGAGTTATTGTGTTTTTAAAATGTGTGCTTCTGCTGGGACATCCTATATAATCTAATATTTATAAAAACTAATGATATACTATTAGAAAAAAACATTAACTGCCTGCGATAATAAATATCATTGTATCGATGAATATCATGAGACGACTTATAAATTACTTATACATTTTGGATATGCATAAACTACGAACAATTTTCTAGTTTAAATTTTATTTTAAGAAGAGGATTAGTTAGTACCACCTGTCACTTTATACGGTAAAAATGGAACGGTGCGCATTATATTTAATCTTAATCCTAGGTCAACATCTAACCTGAGCAAAATATGATACACATAAATTAAACACATCCTTTTAAATAATCCAGGTCTAAATTATTTAACTATTTAGTGGGTAAAAATTCAAAACTAAAAGGAATATAAAATGATGTCTCTAAAACTTACTTAATACCTACTCATTTGAACATATGACATTCTGTTTTATGGTGCAGCCAAAAAATCAAAGATAAGCACTAACAAAATTTAAACATTTTAGTCAATATATGATTACAAATGCTACAACTAGTAACATACATATATGTTTTTAACAACACCAACTCTTCATTCAGACCTAAAAATAAATACTATATAGACGAAATATCCAAAAAACCAAACATAAAAGTTTTTGCTCTAGCTTAGGGATGACGAACCTTTCTTGGATCAAGTGCCAAAATTTTTCCAATTTAGGTTTTAAAAATCGTTCACGTGCCCAAAGGAAATATTTTCCAAGAATAAAAATAAAATTACAGATTTATTATATTATTGTTATTATGTAGGTACATATTTTTGTATAATTTTGTAAATTATGTTTTATAAAATATCCTTAAATTTGGTGTTATATATTTAATTATTTTGTGCTGTTTCTTAGCGGATAAAGTTTTGATATTAGAAGTGTACTTGGTTATATTAATGAAACACAAGCAGCAATTGTTTCATCGGTCAAAGCATTGCTTTCCTTAGATTTAATTAAATTGGTTATGGAGAATAAACTTTTAAAAACATAAGTTGACGAAAAAAATTGAAATAAAAGGAATATTATCATTTTTAAAATATATACAATTTGGTTTTTTGAATTTTTTATAATTAAAATTTTATAAATAGCATAATTTTTTTTTTTATGTAAAATGTTTCATAGTTTTATTTTTTTCGGGTGTTCTTGAAATTTGGCCAATGTACCATCTTTAGCGTGTATGTCATAGGTTCATCACCTCTGCTCTTACCATTCAATCCCGCAGTATTCGATCCCAATTCAGAAACTATTCCAGATAACTCTTTGAGTCAAAGACTTTGGATAAAGTTATGCAAATATTTAAAAAAATTAATCGTCACTAATGTTAGAAAAAGAATCAAACCTAGAACTATCATTAAGAACAAATATAAATTATATTATTATAAATTATTGAACTACCTTAGTACTACCACCTTAGTTTCACCTTTTTCCACCTTAGTGTGGCTCTCCTATCATGGAATGATATCAATGTTTTAAAAAAAATGAAGTTAATTAGAATTTTTTTTTGAATATAGTTTAATCAATAAATTAGATTTTTACTATGGATTTTAAATGAGTACAAATGACCCATGTATAAAATATGAGGTTGCAAAAAAGAGGATAGAGTATAATTACTTTTATAAGAACAAAACATGCAGTGTTCATAAAATGGAATATTATAGAGTATTAATAGAGTAGAATTGTAACAATATAATGGTTATAAAATGGATATTTTTTTTTCCTAAAATTTTTAACAGTTAGTCAATGTCTAAGTTAATCTCAAAGGTAAAATTTTCAGATGAAAATTCGATGAGGACCATATAGTCGGTCACCATTAGTTTTAAATTTATAATCGCATTCGTGTACTCTAGAAACAATACCGTAAAAATACCAACCCGAAATTTGAATTCATAATTACTTCTAACAATTATAACGTTGTTATTTTTATATTGTTTTCACGCCGGTCGTTACGCAATCTAATAAGTTATTTACTAAATTTCAGGTAGTGGTTAATGATAATACACGTGTCACTCGTAAGTTTATAATGTACATTTTATATTATTATTATTATTATAGCATATTGAACTTGTACATACAGACGTATAGACTGCGTACAATAAGAACATCAAATAGGTAATGTATTAAATACAGTCCACACGACTCGAGATTTTCGCAAACACGACTTATTGTGTTAAGTTACAACTTGTGGCTTGCAGTACTATTGCAACCCACTATGACTATTGCAACAATAGTGGCGATAATTAGTTTATTTATAAATTAATAACTATATATATTTAAATATTATAAAACGTATAATTGACGCCAATGATGTTACTAATTCAATTAACACTCACGTTTGCAATACCAATATCTCTTGATACTTTGACTGTTCCTTGTGCAGAACCTGTTCAACTTGCATGGAAAAACTCCTTCCTGGCAACAGGTCTGTGAGTTCGCTGAACCAGCCACTCTTTAACGCGTCCATGACAGAGGTTCTCGGACACGGGTCGACGACGACAACACAACAGGTTCTGCTGCTTTTACTGTTTGACAACGGGCACGTCAATCGCATGTAGCGAGTGCCGGTGAACTAGAGTCTAGTTACTAGATGGACGACGCGTGCATCTACCGATAAGTTCTATATACGGATTCGACGCAGAGCAGCAATTTCAATAATAATAATAATAATAGTAGTACGGTAACGACCTGCTTATCTCTCGTACGACCTTCGACGCGATTCCAAGACTGGCACGGGTGTACATACTTATGCGTCAGTACCTACCACGTTTATGTATTTGCATATATTTTAAACCTTGGTACCTATATATACGTACATACATCCATGGGCGTCCCCAGAAATTTTTCTAGGGGGGGGGGCAAAATTAATTTAAAAAATGAAAATTTTTTTATACATTTTATTTATAGTAAATTATTATATTTCGTCATTATTAAAAATATGAATTAAAACATTACTGACATTTATGTATAATGTACAATTAAAACATCACTCAAAAAAATACATTAAGATAAAATAGTCCGATTATTATTAATGATAGTTTTCATAGATAGCCGTCAGCCGTGCGTTGACATAATATGTTATGGAAACTTAGTAGACCTATTTTTAGAAACTAATTTATCATTTGAAATTTTACCAATTTCTGTGGAAATAACATTATTCCAGGGGGGGCAAGTGCCCCGTCTTGCCTCCCCCTGGGAACGCCCATGCATACATCATACACGTGCGCAGGGGGTAGGTATATTATGAAGGCACAACTACTGCACACCCTCTACATAAAACAATGAACTTTCTACTGCCGAATTTTATGAAATTCTTATTTTCCTTATTCCAAGGTTGTATTTAAGTTAAGGCCAGGAGGGGAGGGGGTGGAAACTAATTTTTCTTCAATACTAACTTAAAAATAATTTACAGTTCATCACCTACAGCTCATGTTCTTGTTATAACGATAACATATTATGACTAGTAATTTATATTCTTAATTACGTATACAATATATTTTTTAAATAAATCAATGTATTATATGAAAAAAAATACGACCTATGGGGGGGGGGGCGAATGCACTTTCGCCCCCTTAAATACGCCTTTGTCTTATTTTTATTCGTATATAACTGAAACCAGTAACCAATCAAAATACATAATATTTTATTCATATATTATAGCAATCTGATGTGCATTTATAAATATGATGTTAAATTAGCAGAGTTTTTGTTTTAAAAACAACATTTAATACTATACACATATTATAAATTATATAGAAAATGCTATAAATATTTAAAGTTAAAATTATAAAAGCAACATTTGATTGAACATTTTTTTAAAATTATTTGGGTATTATAAAAATATCCTACTAAAAAGTTAGTCAGTGAAATAAATGTAAAACTAGGGCTTAAAGTGGGGGGGACGCAAGAGAACTCAGTCCTACTTCTCACAGCGTTTATAAAGCGTCCTCAACAATTGCTTTTAAAAGTTTACGGAAACACTTAACTGTTGGTAAAAATTAATTACAAACAATAAAATAGTTGACAAATTGGCTTAGTAATTTAGTATATGTCACCAGGTGTTAAACAGGATTTTACAAACAAAATTAATATTAAACATAAATTATATAGTAATATATACTTGCTCATAGATTTGTATAGCCTATATATAGTTTGTGGAGGACATTTTTTACTAATAACACTTCATATTATATGTACTTATTTATAATGAGTTACCTAGTAATTGTATAGGACTATATGTAGCGTTGAGAATGATATTCGGATCAGAGCCCCCTGCCCTTTTTTACCACTTTAAACCCTGTGTAAGATACAATTGTATTAAGGTGCGTCCACACTTGTGTAACATACAACGCATTTTTGTAACATATTCTTGTAACAATCCAGCGAACTTGTAACACATTTGTAAAATAAACCGGCGATCAGCTGACAGTAGGTAATTTAGTGAAAGATCAAAGGATGTTACACGAACATATTGCGGCCTGTATGGACAGGTTTGTGAACCTATTACTTATAATTAACAAATTATAATTCATTTTTATTATTCCAATTGGCAGTTGACGATTGAAACAGAAACAAGCTAGTATTTATTGTTTATTAAAATATTTCAATTCGAATATGTAATGTTCCAGTGGTTATACGAAATAATTTTAAAATTTATAGAAATGTACCGTGTTAAAAAAAAGTATGGAATCCTTTGCATAAAAAATAATAATTTTAATGGTATATTAAAAAATTATGCTTGTGTTTCCATTGCTGATCACTTATCATATAATTTTCATATAACATTACCACCAACTACCAGTTTAAAACAGTATTTAAGAAGAATTTTCATACTGTATTTATAAAACTAATGGATATCTTCTAAAGTGTGCTGAAATAATAAATTAAAAGAAGCACTCTTATTAACTATGAGTTAAGTAGTTTTTTTACAGACATAGAACATAATAAATTGTTCTCATTTCCATTTATTCTTTAATCCCCAGGTAAATGTTTTATTTTTATAATGTATAAGTTTACATTTAAAGGGCATACCAAGTTTTAATATTCAACAATTAATAACTTGATCAACAAATAACTATTTTTTTAAATTATTTCAATAGTACAAAATGCAACATTTTTTCTTTAGTTGATTATATTGACTATTTTGTGAATAATAATCACGTTTAACAACAATATAATAAAAGTACACAGTTAATAATTAAAATAATAAATTGTAACTGATTAGTTTCATGATTCAAGTGATGCAGTGTCCATGTAAGTATTAATATGGTGACTGAAAAATATTGAATTAACATTAAACATTATTAAAAACAAGTGGTTTTAAATAAAATGTTTGTGAAAATATAAAATAAAAAAATCTCAAATAAGCAAACTATAAACTTGCTTAATTTAATAGGATTTTTTATTACAATTATCTGCAAATACATTTACTTATTTGCTATTTATATATCGCTTGTGGCTTAATTATAAAGTTATAATGTACTATTTTTATAGGTACTCATATTTATATATGTTATTCTTAGTCGATCAATAATATTTGATAAAATAAATATATAAAAAAATAATATAAATACATTCTTAATTATTAATAATAATTTATTAGATATACTAATAATAAGTCTTAAAAAAAAATATCAATATTTATTTTTTTATACATATAAAATATATGAAATATTCAAGCAGTATGATTTAAAAAAAAATAAATGTTGTTACTTCATAAGTTTAACTTTTTATCAAAAATAAAAGTTGTGTATTATATTTTACCTATTAAAAAACCAATACAAAATGACTGGGTACACAAATATTTAAATAATTAATGTATATGACAAAATGTCAAATTAAATTGATATAAAATATCATTGTAATTGTTTGACTATAATGAACTAAAAGTAATGACAAATTAAAAATAGCATGGCTCATCGATTTTCAATGAAATAATATTTAACTTATCATTTATTGTTAATTAAAAAATTCTTAAGTTACTTATAAGTTAATTAATATATTAAGTTTTCTAAAGTACTAAAAAAATAAGTAATTCAGTAATTAAATGCACAATATAGAAAAAAAATTGATAAAATTATTGATAATACATTTTTATATACATACCTCCTTTTAAATATACCACAAATAACTAATATCACAGATGAAAATTGTATAATTAACAAAATATAGTAAATATTAATACCGCAATCTACATAAAGTATTATTGCCAATAACATCCATTTTCATGTAATTCAGGATCATCAAATATGAATGTCTGTTTTGGCAACTTTGTGACATTGTTTTTGGTCTTAAACATAAATCATTAAGGAATAACTTTTAAAAAAAATATAACTTGTTCTAAAGACTAATTATTATTGATAACAGATAATTAAATATTTTAATAAAAATAAATTATCAATACTTAATCAGTGATTTGATAATTTAATGAATAATGATAATGATAATATATGCTAATTAAAAATTATATTAGTGTTATAAAATGTACGAAAAGGATATTTGTAAATTAGTTTGAAAAATCCAGTACCCAAGTTGATGGGAATACCCATGATTATACTCTCAGATACTCCATTTATAGTATCAGTTTGTCCATAATATGCGGCATCAAATAAATGATCAGAAGTTTTCTCAAACTAAAAATATATGAATATAATTATCACTGTTTACTATTCTTATTTTGAATATGATTTTAATTATGCATAGAAATTAAAATAATATCACTTATGAAAGTTATGCTTACCGAAGCGAGATTCAGTACAGATTCTTTCATTTTAGACAAGCCAAAACGTGTTATACCCAATAATTCACCCCGACTTGTCATCAAATCAGCAATAAGCATAGGATGTCGAGGGTCGATTGATATTCCATGATTACCCATCACACTATCTATTTCTGATATTATTGTAGACCTAAAAATTATTATTTATGGAAACATAAAATTGATAAAACAAATAGATTATATGTTATAGTAAAATAAATAATTTAACAATGGTTAGTTAAAAAATACACCTTTATACAGAGATCTTTATGTATAAAAGTCATAATATTGAAGACTATTGCTTGTAGACATAAACCTAGAAGTTAATTCCAAATGGGAATTTCTCAGAAGTTGTAACTTTTTGGTCAATTGTTGTTTTTAAATTAAATAATTAAACATATTTACCTAATATATTTATGCATTATACTTATATAGTATGTATAATTGTATTAAATGATAGTTTATTTATTATTCAATGTAACTTGTAGTAAGTTAATAGAGAGAAGATGCAATTCACGATAATTGTTTCTAATACCATAACTGTCCATTAATATGAATACAGATTATTTGACAACTTACCATATAATAGTACAACATAATATAATAATATACCTAGCTGCTTCTATGCCAAGTGCATTCCACACTTGAAACGTATTATTGCTGGTGCATCGTTTTCCTATTACTCCTGGTGTAGCCATTACTTCCCGCAAGTTATCACCTTCAACAAGTAATTTATAACGTATTTCACCATTGTCATCTTCTTCATGAATTACAGCCCGTGTAACTGCACTAATACCCTTTGTTGTAAAATTATAATAAATATTTATGTCACTCAGTATTTAAAATTAATTTTAAATAGCAACTACCTTAATTATAACTTTTTGCAAATTTTGCATGTATATATTTATCCAATGATTTAATGTTTGATTGCCTTTATTTGGTAAAGCTATACTAACACATGATTCATTGTCAATATTCACTTGACTGGCTTTAATTCCAATACGTGGAGTAGTAAGTATGCTATAGAAAAATAAAAAATAAAAAAAAGCCTGAATGATTAATGATTTTATTTTATACATATTCTAAGATACATACCTATCTCTAATTGTCTCAATTGTTACTTCAAGTTGTAAGAGTTTTATACGATTCATGTCTATGTGTACTAAAAGATAGCATTCAGAACTGTGAAGTACTACATCAATAAAACTACATACCTAAAAAAATACATAGTTGAAAAACTAGTTCTAAATTTAAAAATAAAATTTTAATTTACTTCTGTTAAAGTTGTTTGTTCAATACGAGCCTTAACAATTCTTGCAAATTCTTTGTCCTTATCATTTTCTAAATATGCTGTTATAATGGGAGTACTTATATTTTTACTCGAGTTAATAATTTCTTTGATTCTGGAGGCAAAAAAAAAAAAAAAATAATACACTAACATTAATATGGAGAATATAAAAAATACAATTTACAATAATTCAAGAAACTAGATACAGAAAGATTATTTTTTTGACCCATAATTTATAATCATAAATATTCATAAGTCAATTAATTTTTAGTTATAGTATAAAATGATTGTAATGTAAATTTATAATATAATTTAAAATAATCGGCTTTAAACTAAAGCAGAACTTTAAAAAAACTAGAATTTTTATCTATTTTATTTGTATACTATTAAGTATATTTAGTCAAACCAACATACCTAGGCACACCTTGAGTAATATTCATTGAAGCAACACCAGCAAAATGAAAAGTTTTCAGTGTCATTTGTGTGCCTGGCTCACCGATACTTTGAGCTGCAATAGCTCCAACAGGAGTTCCTGTTGACAATAATAAATGTTATAGCTTATAAATTCAAGTACAATTAATGAGCTCAAATAAACCTGGTTCAATTATAGCTGACATATATTTGGTAAGACAAGTCATATAAAATTTGATTAATTGTGTAGATGTTATTCGTTGTAGTTTTGAAACTTCTAAGCTCAACCATTTTTTTCTTACTTCAGCCATACGGTTTGATAAATGTTTTCCAAAATTTCTTTTCAAGAATTAAATATAGTTTATGAAAAATAGTATAATATTATAATGTCAAAATTGTAATTTTATATTTTCATTATTACCTTAATTCTTCTATAAATATATTATTTACTAATTTAAAATTATCAGATAATAAAACATCATCAGTAATTTTTAATATTTCATCAGAGTCTAGTGTACATTCTTCATGGCATGGATAGTTAGCAGTCACATTGAAATATACACGTTTAAGATCAACTGGGACACCATCACCTAAATATTTAATATTATTAAAAAGTGTATTGCACTATTAAAGTAATAGTAATAAAAATATTAAAATAGTAAATTTAACTAATAGATAAAAAAAAAAATCATCTGACACACCTTCTGTATAAGTAGGATCTAAGCTGTCACCTCCAAATTCAAACTGTATAACATCTCCGAATGCATTACGCACAGTATTGTCATAATGTATGCATAAATCTTCCAAAGACTAATACAAAAACATTTATGATGTATTTAATCTTTTTTATTCTTCTATGCTTTATTTATATCAATAAATTTACTTTAACAAGACGCCGTTGCATGTAACCAGTTTCTGCAGTTTTTACAGCTGTATCAACAAGACCTTCACGACCACCCATTGTATGAAAGAAGAACTCTGTTGGTGTTAAACCGGAATAAAAGCTGTTCTCTACAAAACCTTTAGCTTCTGGAGTTTTTGCTGAAAAATTATCAGAAAATCAAATATCTATAATCAATAAATGAACCAAGAATACTAACAGAAACGTTTAAAATGAGGTAGTGATCTAGACTCAAATCCATCTGGTACACGATGTCCACTCAAAGCTTGTTGGCCTACGCAGGCAATCATCTGAGATATATTAATATTGGATCCTAAATAAAAATAAAACAATAATTTAATAGTTTAATTTAATTTAATATATTATTAGTTATTACCTTTAGATCCAGAGAGTGCCATGATCAATGGACCATTAGTGAAGTGAAGTTCTTGCAAACAAGCTTTACCTACAGAATCTCGAATACCAGACAATTGTTTTAGAATATTTGCCTCTAAAGTTTCATCCATATTGCAACCAGGTTGACACTTCAATTCTTTTGCATTTCTTAAGCGAATATTTTCTTCACAAAGTGCATTTCTATAAAATAGCATTAATTTATTAAAATATAAAAGATTTTATCCTAAGAGAATGTCAAATTATTAACAAAATATGAAAATTCTAACCCATTGAAAACCAATTTGTTTTTAGAACGTAACAAATCATTACTAGGCGTGACATCACCAATGCCAATAGAAAATCCTCTTAACATTAAAAAATATGATGTAAGACGTGTTAAACGCCACATTACTTTGCAACAAACATCAGTACCCCAGTCAGCCAATAATATATAAAATATATTTGATTTACTGCCTGAACCTAATGTTGCTTTATCCATAGTGCCAGCCAATAATTCAGAATTTCTTATGTAAACGTCTATACAAAAAATAGTATTATAATTTTAAATTAAACTTTTTTAAAATCTAAATATAATTTACAAGAATCTCTGAAACAAAATTCTTCATCACGAGTATATGATTTTCCTTTACACCGTAGATTAGCTTTTACCAAGCATTTTTTACTTGGTTTCATAATTATGCTTAATATTTGTTTACCAGTCCAAAGCATGTGAGGCTACATAGTATTAATTAAAAGATTAGTCAAAATATATTATGCTTATATTTAATAATAAATTGTAACAAACTTTGAGAATAGCTGGACGTGGTAAATCTAAAGCAATGTTAACATCATCACCAGACATTAACCAACCTATCAGTCTACTAGCATCTCTTCGATTAAGAAAAGTATTTTTATGTGTCAATAAATAAGCTCCAGTAATAAAATCTTGAGTCGCAGCAATAAGAATATCACCATTTCTAGGTGTGACTAGGTTTGATTTATTCTAAAAGAAAAAAATGTAATAGGTTTTAGACTAGAAAAATTATAGAAAATGTATTAAATATATTACTTACAATCATTAACAAACCAGCTTCAGCTCTAGCTTCTTCAGTTTGTGGTAAATGCAAATTCATTTCATCACCATCAAAATCGGCATTATAAGGAGTACATACACATTCGTTAAACCTAAATGTAAACAAATCATCAATATCAATCTTGCAATAATTTACTAAACTATACCTTAATGTGTTATGTTCTAAAACTTTTGCTCTATGACACATAATGCTTAATCTATGAAGACTTGGCTGTCGATTGAACAATACTATGTCACCATCAGATAAATGTCTTTCAACAATATCTCCAATCTACATCCAAGATAATAAATAATAATAAATGTATTAATAGTAAAAATATAATTTAATTAATAAAAAATGTAAAACAATATAATATAAATTAAATAATCAATAATATACTACTTCAAAATCAAAATACATGTTGGATATTTAAATGTTTTAAATTAGTGTTTCACAACACTAATTTTCAGCGATTTCCATCACTTGAGGCAAGGTTGTATTTTAAAATATTTAAATTTTAAATTTTAAAATGAAAGAAGCTATTATTTTTATATTTAACTTTTCAAAAGGTTCTATTAAACTTAATGTTAATGGCTTTGGTATTTATAGAAGTGGTAATTTCATATCTCTTGCACTCCTCTTTAAACATGTAAATGTTAATTGTTAATGGTAGAGCAGATATATTTATTAGCATTGAAATTGTTCATATATTGATATTTTTAATGTATAAGTTCATCATTGATATTAATTGTTTGTAATGGACACTGTTGGTAATGATTAGTAAATAATTAAATATAATATACAGGAGGATTGCACTAATCCAGAGGGGCTTGAGAATGATCACATTGTGATTAATACGTACACATGTTAATTTTATTTATAATGTACATAATAATAATAATTTTATTTGTAATCGTTGTCTTTTTAAATTATTTATAGATAAAAATAAATTTCAAAATTTGAATTGTAAGAAAATTGAGATTTTTTTAGTTATAGGTAATTTGAACAACCACTTTCCTCGATCATGTTCTGATTATTGTGACCCTTCTGTAATATTATAAATACTACGAAAAGTTTTAACAAATAAAAAAACAGGTAAGTAATTATAGGAGAACAATCACATATTTTTATTCAGTATAGTGAAATTATAAAATATTATGTTATATTAAATCTACTGACTTTTAAATCTTTAGCTATAGCTGGTCTGTTTCCGAACCTCAAGTATTTTTTTAATTTAGAACCTTGAAGTTCCACAAAATTAGCACCTGGATGAATTTCAGGTCCATTCATAACTAGTTTACGCATTAATTCAATATTGGCTGGGCATACTTTTTGAGGATATGTTAAAATTTTAGCCATACGAACAGGAACACCAACCTGAGGTGTCAAAAAATTAATAGAATTAATATTGCTTTATAATATTGATATAGTTTTTTAATTTCTTACTTCTTCTATTCGAAGATTTGGGTCAGGTGAAATGACGGATCGTGCTGTAAAGTCTACTCTTTTACCAGACAAATTACCACGGAACCGTCCATGTTTTCCTTTTAAGCGCTGAACACATCCTCTCGCAATTTTTTTTGGCTAAATAAGCAATAAAATTTTAGATTTATCTGTCAAATATATAAACTATTTAATAACTGGCATCATTGTTCGTGAAACACCAGATAAATCACTATTAATATAAAGTGCACAATGTAATTGCAAATATTCCCAGTCCTCATGTAGCAATTGGGGTTTGGCACCAGACTGTTTATGCTTCACAATCACATCATTGATAAACAATACTTCAGATAACTTTAATGTTAAGTCATCTTCATTACTAAAAATAACATTAAAGTTATTAATTTTTGATATTAATAATTTTTTAGCATATATATATATATATATATCATACTAACGTTCCAGATCGTATGTCAGAGACTGCAGATGGACGAATACAATTTGGAGGTACCAACATTCTTGTCATTAACAACCATCCAGGATTAGACACTTCAGGATTCATACCCAATAATATAATGTCTTCATACGGTATGGACAACAATAAACGAAGAACTTCTTGAGGATTGAGGTTTTCATTGAATAAAAAATTTCGCATAGATTCCACTTCTTTGTTATACTTAATGACACCGTTCAAAGCACCTAATTTAATGTTTGTACTTTTTATTATGATGAATTAATGATAAAATCATATAAATAGCATTTACATAATTTGGTTTCAGCTTCAGCACCAGGTTTTTTATACCGATAACGATCATATGAGATTTTCAAAATACCATTTTTTTTTACTTGACCTACAATGTCATTGCAAAATGGACATATCTGTACTTTTTTTGCTTTGGCGTGAACTTCTTTAAAAACTTTTTTACGCATTGTGTAGGTTAAATTTTTGTTTCTCAATTTAGTATAGAAAAACATTCGATCTTCATTGTTTAATAATACTTTGGCGCAAAATGGGTTCTGAAATGTACCGTATAATTTTTATATTTCCCACATTCAAAAGTAGAAATGCAGAGAAATAAAAGAAAAGTATTGATGGACTATACTTACTTTACAAATTGTCTGTAATATTGTAATGACCGAACTGAAAAAGCCCACATGAAAGACTGGTAATTGTAAATCTATGAAGCCCATGTGCCCCGGGCAATCATTTAGCCCTTTGTTGCAAGTCATACATGTTGCATCTTTTTGGTTGACTCCCTGTGGACAAGCGCACAATTAAATATAACAGTTATTGTTATGGACAGTAGCATTCTATTTTCCAAGTAAATACTTATTAAGCTTACCAATTTATGATCCAGTACTCCATACGGATGCGGCGTACGCGTGGCAACATTCTGATTATTTATAGCATACAGGTTCCTGGTATTTATGCATAGATGTGATTTCCTCTGAATGTCTTGAGGGTTGTCGACAGTAAAGCTGATCTTAGATCTGCAATATAGTGAGTAAAAGAAATGCAAATAAAAATAATTTCTTAACTAATCCAGAGTGTTTACATAACATGCCATAGATTAATATTGAATATTATTACTAATAATTTATTAGTATCACACATAAGAATTTATTTTGGTTAGGGTTTTAAATATAAATGAATGCTATAATTTAACAAAAAATTACTGACACTTTGAGAGAAGAAAAACATTTCGAGGTGAGTAGAGGATGGGATCTCATTCTCGCATACGTCACCGAATATTATTTTACTCACATTATGCGCGACCCGTCGGTGTCCCTGTACTGTTCCTTGACCATTTCGAGAGTGTGGTAGAACCTCGGGATTGCTAATTCGACGATCGATCAGCTCATGGTGTTCGAAATCGTATTAAAAGTGCTGTTACGACCGGGTGACATGCGACTTTAGACTCGGCATGATGTGATGATATTACCGAAGAAGTGAGTAAGAAGTTATAGGGGACATTAGCATGTGCTCGGCGGATAACGGTGGACAACGAATGCCGATAAGCTGATAATGCTTATCGTAATGGTGAGGTGATATCACTACAATAGATTAAATTTAATATTATTGCAATCTTAGATCATATACTACTCTTATACTAGAGTAAATGTTCTAAGACCGTTTTCGGTTGGCGTTTTTCTTTATAATATTATAATACCACGACAATTATTTCCTGAAATCAGGGATGGGCTAATGGCGCCCGCATACTTTTTTTATCTGGCCTGTGCTACATTTTCAAATCATTTCATTACATTTTAGCGGTTATCAGTAACTTTAAGTATTTTCACATTGATCGTAAAATATGGATATTAAGTTTTCCTCTTGCATTGAACTCCAGCAAAATCATTAAATGTTTAAATATAATTTATGTCCATATCGGCATAGCTAACTTTGCTGTAAGTATTAGCTGAGCCGTATTTAGGAATTTGACACTAGGGGGCAACAATAAAAACCGCTTCATTATACGAAATACAAATTTCTGCGGGTTGAAAAAGATCTCTCTGAAGAACAATTCGTTGCTGGTGCGCACAAAAATATTCTAAATGCAATGTCAACATAAGGATAGATTGTAAATTTTTGGATCTATCGACAGTACTCGACCGTTTCGAGTATGTGTGTGTGTGTGTGGGTGTCGTGACGCCGTGATTGGCGAAAATATTTTTTTTTTTGAGATACGCTTTTTATTTTGTAAAAAAGTTTCACTTCAAAAATATTAGATCATTAAATATTGAAAATATAAAAAATTAGCCGTCCTGGGCAATAGCCCCTGTTGCTCCCCCCTAAATGAGTATTAGGCACTGGTGCCAGTGTAGCGTGCGATCTACCGCTTACATGTGATCTACCCATTACTATACAGTTCTTTATCGGTAATTTATTGTTAACGACGTAAACGATTCATTTCGTGTCCGATAGTCGATAATAATTTAGTGTGCTTTCCGATTTCGACGACGCATAAGACGTAGTTAAGACGCATAAGACGACGTTGTACTTTTTATTTTAAAAAATTTATATTATGTGGATGTGATTTTTAAATTATGATTTTTTAAATACGTGTGAACCCACCTCCTCGTGGTGAATTTTGGGTAATGCTAAGCGGCTCACAAATCGCGTTCACCAAAAACAGGCTGGTAGATTGCACGCTACACTGGCACCTAGGAACTTATTTCAGGCGGCACAATGTCCATGTCCGCCTTATTTATTGTAGTGGTCCAGTCGTAAAATTAAACAAACTGAAATAAATGCTAATTATCTATTTTAGTGACCGTTTTTTCAATTTTACTTTTTATACTATGGCCCGCTAGATTTTAAAGTTCTAATAATTGACTCTTTAGTTACTTTGAGTTGCCCTGATATATAAAGTATAGTAAGCACATTTCATACATTATACCGAATGTAAGTTAAGTATAGTACGCGTATTAGAACTTTTTATAAGATGAGACCAATGTCATTTCCAATAAAAAAATTAAATATATAAATTGTAGTGATGGGTCGAACTCAGAATAAAAGTAAATCGAACCGAACTGTTAACCATTTAGATAAGTTCAAAATTCGAACTTGAACAGAAGCGTTTTCAGAATTTTTTATTGGAGGGGGGGCTATCAACATTAATTTAAATTTAAAGGTGCTTAAGATAGGAAATTAAAATCAGTAAAATTAATAAGAATTGTATATTAATTGTTATTATCATAATTTATATTACCTTTTGTTGATTTGTGGTGAATGTTCCATAATCAACTGTATTACTATCGCTACAACAATTTACATCAGGCTGTTCAGTATAGGCGAAACTAGGGAGGGGGCTTAGTCCCCTCCTAAATATTCCATGTTATACATGGCTTACCGCATACATCATACTTAACTCACAATAGTGTCACATACAAAAAAAGACACATTGCAGTTCCAACTTGGCTCAGAATCTAAAATACGAGTACATTAACATGGTATATTGGTAGGGGTAGTTAATCTACAGGTTATTTTAAGTTTTGGTAGGCATTTTTACCAGCATTTTTACCCTAGTTGTGCCTATGCTGCTGAGACAATTTACTTTTGTCTATTTCACCTACACCATTAAATTGTATACTTTCTATATCAGTACTACTTGTAGGAGGAACCAACTTTTTTTTGAAAAAAAATGTAGTATACTTGAATTACTTTGTTTCATTTTGATCAAAAATACAAATCAGTTGTCAGTCGTAACTCATTAATACGCCATACAAATCACGTGAGACTAATTTATTATTTACATTTTACATCAATATAATATTAGATTACAGATATTAATCTTTAACTATGGCCTGTAATCATTTATTTATATACCAATTGTATATTCTTATGGGAAATGACATAGAGAGTATTTATTTTTTTAATTTTCATTAAAATATTACATATCACTTATCAGTTAACCATTAATCATTAAAATCGATCTTGCGTAAAAAAAAAAAAAAGATCCATGAGAGATCCATCCCCCATTCCCCAACTTCTTGAAAGCGACAATGAACTTGAAATATTCATAATCAAACAATATCATCTATTATTGATTTTCTCTTTTTTATAGTAAGTAAAATGAAAACATCATATAATAATATTGAATATTAATTATTTATTATTATTATAATTTATTATATATTTTTAGATGTATTAAATTTTACACAATGCAAGCAAAATTTTTATAATTTCAATATTTTACTAAAAAAAAAAATGCTGAATTCGAAATTTAGTTCGATAACAATTTTTAATAGTTCGGTTCGCAATATTTTAATAATGTTCTGTTCGACACCAACAAATCACGTTCGATCAATCACTAATAAACTGTGTATTATGAACTTTTAACTGTGCCGATTACTACGTGACTAGTAATTCGATTATAATATTGTATCAGGATAATAACTCCCAGTATTAACGTTTCAAACGTGTAAATATATGTGTGTAATACCAGTAATATAATTTTAGTTACCTACAATCGGATTTTGAACATTTTTAAATTAATCTACATAAGTTACTTTATCACAACACTACCATGACAGGCCCCGGAGTCCTGCACACTCCGCGTTCCATTTTCGGTAAACACGGGATAGTCTATTATATAATTTTGTCGGTAAACGCATTGCGGAAGTGTATATTCATTTCTTAGAAAGGGTTAAGGAAATAACGTGATCTGCAAACTGAAAAAACCAATTGAAATTTATGTCTTATATTTAATTCATCCATAAAAACTACATAATATACATATGACTCATGTGTGTCTACATCATCATATAGGCTCCACAGTACTTATATATAATATACACGAGTAACATTAATAGTGTTCTTTTACATGCGCACGCGAGGTAGGCTTAGCATTTTTATTTTAACATTTTTTACAAAGTATTCATATCGCATTCCCGTTGATACAGTAATATTATAAAGGCAATGTGGGTTTCATACTAAACACGCTAAAATGGTAAACTCTGATGCGAAATAATAATAACGATAATAGTATTAATAATAAATGTAACATTATAGTGTCGTCGGTCGCATATCGATAATCGTATTCAGTTCTGATATTCTAAGCGTACGCGTGTGTACAGAATATACTTGGTTAAAATTAATAGGACCACCGTAATTGTTTTTTTATTTGTATTTAATATAATGGCATTATCACAGGAGAAAGAAAAAATGTAAAGCAGTTTAATGTTTTACCAAAAGCATTACTACGCGGTACGAGGAAAACGAAAATGACAAATGTAGCTTAAAAATAGGACAAATGGCACGTTTGCTTGCTTGTATAAAATAATCTTACTACGTACTATATTATATGATTAAAAATAATAGTGTGCCACGAATACGTTAAGTCGATAAAATTCTCGCGAATTGTCGAAAAATAATACAATAAAAAATACTAATTTTAATAGTAAATAAAATAGATTAAGCATCGCGAAAACCTTCTTGTTTGAACGCGTTTGAGCTGATTCACGTATTCAGATTTAAAATACATATGCGTATCTAATATTATTTATAACAATTAAAATATCAGTTAGGAATACACGTATAGACATAGGCGCGCGCGCACATGGACCTATATGACGTGATGAGTGTCTAACGAAACGTATAAAATAAACTAATTTAAATAAATAATAGTATCTATCACAACAACATTGATATAAAAAAAAAAAAAAATCATAATAATAAATAAACAAAAGGAACTATATCATAGAATTAATACAAATAAGTATACAAATAAATAACAATTCAAGTTATTTACATTATTTTTTACAGAAACAAAACTCGGGGTTACGTTTACACAAAAAAAAGTTTACAAAACTTTTTAATATTTATAAAAGTCAAATATAGATATAATATCATACTTAGATAACGGTAAAGTGTATATATACGTTTTACACCTATACAATATATTATGTCACGATTACGTTGATTAGGTACATATAAAACAAAGTACAATATACGAGTAGGAAAAAGTATAGTTCGTATATAGTATATATATATATGTGGGTATAAAAGAGTTTCGAAATATTTTGATTTGTCCGATATAATTTATAATAATAAATATATATTTACATAGTAAAAAATTTACGAGCATCCGGCCTGTCTACAAAACATTTTTTAATTGTTAGTGCGCAAACGCGACATATAAATATATGTATAAAAAACCATGAAATACATAAGGTCCAACCGAACCACGCTCCTACCGAACGTGTCATTTCGGTGAGTCAGTGAATACTCTTTGCATCGTGAAACTATTATACGTGGTCGCAATGTCCGAACCGTAAACTCGGTGAATATTTTTAGAACTCGGTCGGAGGAGAAATGTGCGACCTAGTACAGATGAGTCGAGAGTCACGAGATGAAAGTCTTAAAGCGGCGAGTGAAGCGTACGCGTATTATTTGCGGACCGCAGTCGCCACCGGACACGGCAAGTCGGACGCCTCGGCATACAGACAAGACGATTCGCTGCACGAACAACCACTGCTACAGCTACCCTTGTCATCACCACCATCGATTCCATCGCTAGAGCCACCACCACCACCACCACCACCTCCGCCGCCGCCGTCATCGTCATCGTCGTCTTCATTACACCAACCACGTTGATCCCGGCGCCATTGTTCTGAAAGCAAATGAACAAAAGTGTGTAAAAAATACGGTTTTTTCTTTTTAATTATTGAAATTCTTGCGAGAAGTATTTTTAGCTTACACGCCCTAATCATATCACGTTAGTTTTTAAATAAATGTCCGTATAGTCTGTAAAGTAGTAGGTTGACTGTAGATGAGCATGCATCTTCTAAGAATTGATTTAAATTTATTGAAGAAATGATGTAAATATTTTTGTATTCAGTATAAACCGATTGTACGACATTTCTTTAAGTTAACTCAGGTCAACTCATAATTTTCACGCTAAAAATGGTTATGATTTGAATACAGAAAACGAGCGAGTAATCTTAAAAGTTAGTGAGAAACTCGTAAGACTACCTATTTATTGCAGTGCTTATAAATATTGATGGATTTTCAATCCACACGAAGCGTGCTAATACCATAGAACTTTTTTTTTTTTTAACTTTTTTAACTTTCTCAATCGTAAAGTGTTTGAAGCACATTGACGTAAAACAAATGGCTCATTTCCTATTCGCTTATAGAATTTAAAATAAATACAAAAGGATTCATTCAACGACCTCCGAAATAATCGGTCAATACACGTATAGTCACCGTTTTATTTAACTGCACCTATTTTACATAAACCGGATTTTACTGCAAACTATCTGTATTATTTTTATTTCCTATATGACATATATTATTACATAGTAACGTCGACAGTTCATTTATTCTTCAAGCGCTGTTGTAGATACCTAAATAGTTTCGAATTTCTATGATGATATCTTAACATCCCCAAACATTCGTTATTGTAACTATTTTTCACTATTCACGTCGTAGCAGCGCAGTTGTTTCAATGAAATAATTGTTTACAATTTTTCCAGAATCAATCATCGTATTGAATCTTGAGAATCCCCAGAACTGTGCAGGGTATACACGAACAAAATACGGTAACTGTACGTAGATATAAATATGTATAATAGATCTGAAATCGTAAAAGTAATTTCTTCTCGAAACGTTCACTTATAGTGATATATACACGTATATATATATATATATATATATATATTATTTTTATCTCTTCCCGTGTTCCGATATATAGTCTCCCGAGAACGTATAATGTAGAAAACAATACAATATTATCGCGTCCTGCAATAAAACTATATTACAGTTATGTACACCAAACAACGGGTCCAGCGGGACTAACAGCGAATTCTTATAGCAGCAATGGGACACGCATAGAAAACGACTTGCAAATAAGCTGTTGTTTCAATACACTCTTGTAACGCCACGGTGCGTGGCGGCCATAGACATAAAAATAAAATATAACAATTGTGAATTTCTATCGTAGCCGACAAGAAGACTTGATTATATAATCGAAAAAAGTAGCTTATCGAAAAGTTACCGAGCAAGGTGCACACGGGGTAGATACTACAAAGTAGATTTCGGACAACTTTTCATTGCGAATTTCTAAGGGGTTTATACAAATGCAAGTGGAATATGTTTTCGAAATCATCGGAAGCCCAATTCCGTTTCGAAACTTTATAGCTTTTTTTTTTATCGGAAAATATATATTCAGTACATAAAAAAAATAAATAAATAAAAAAAATGCAATATTATGTGGTTGTAAAATATAATGCCGACATAAAAATTGAATTCAAACAAAGGAGTTTTCCAATAGAAAGTTTTACTTCCTAATATTTTATTAGATTTTGTGAATAGCCATTACACAATGGCTTGGTATATTATACATTGATGGAATCACGGTCAACTGTAGTATTTGAATTAAAATGTACACAAAATTTACATGAAAGTCATAATGACATTTATAATAATTTACCATTTATAATATTCAAATACTGAACAAACACCTTCGTTTAACATAAAATCGGTTGAATATTTTAACAAGAATTATTTAGACGAGGCTTTGCTTTTCTCTGATTGTTAACTGTTAGACGAGAATGACTGGTGCGAACGAAAACAATATTAATTTATTAATTAAACTACCAGCTATTTCTCTTTCATAGTCTAAATATCCATGAGTATGTCTTACAACTTCAGAGACGATTGTTCGATGTCCGATAGTACGTATGGTCGATCGTAGTTTAAGGTAAAACTCGACCTTGATAGGTTTTGACACTACAACCAAAAAATACTGTCGCCTGATTGCGACAGCACAATCAAAGTATTGCAATTATAAATTTAATTGATACGGACGTATCACCGCATATTCCAATGAAAGCCATATGTAAAGGCCGGTTTCGTCTTAGATCACGAAGACGCATAAGTTTTACTGTCAATAATGTGATAATTAATATGAAAAAATAAATATAGTATAATAAGTAAATAATTGTTACTAGTTTTGATTACGTTTGATTTTTTCTTTTAGACAACTTGTAACAGATGTAGTCTATACAAGTTTTCAAAGGATTTCATACGTATAAATATGTGAAGGGCTTAATTTTTAGATTAGAATATGTTAATCGTTGTTCAATAGTAGTTATAAGAGGGCGTAATGCTCGCAAAGTCGTTGGATAATTATCTTTGGTACACTGCAATTGTTTTGGAAATTATGTACACCTCGACTGTAACAAATTATGAAACATCACAATTGAAAATGGTATGATTATATTGTTATGGGGCAGATTAGTAATCGCTCTAGACAAACGCAAGGCCGGTTATTTTGGATTATATAAAATTATCTCATTTGTTATATGTGATTGTTTATTGCATTTTGTTCCGTTAGTAGTGCATGGACTAGACGGAGAATTATAAGAAAAAACAAATTATTTATGACAATCACAGGTTTAATCAAAATAAGGAGAACAACGGTTGATCACAAGGTTTCTTGGATGATTTTTGACGATGATCGTTGACTATACTGTACTGGGTTTACAGACAAGCATGCATGACTTAAAAGGCTCATCTGAAGCAGAAGAAAATTTCTAAAAATATCGCTAATTAAAATCGACCTGTAACTGTTGTCTGTACGCACGATTTATACATATTTGTATTATTTTTTAAGCTTTTGCATAGTATTTTGACCAAAAGATCTCGTAATAAAATTTATAAAAATGCTGAAAGCTGCTCTTACCTTGTAGGACAAACCGACTAAAGGGTATCAGGATAGGAACCTGAAGTTTGATGAAACTACCAAAATAGCAGCGCATTTCAAAACAAATGTGGATAAATATCAAAGAAAATTAAGTCCTTAAAAACGTAGTTTAGCCGAGAATGGAAGAAAATTAGAGAAAAATATAGAACTGGTGTGGATTGTGGACACGCAACTATTGGTTTGAATGCGCCACACAGTAGACAACATACATCCAAGTATCTTCATCCCACAAATTTGTTGTCAACATCTGGTAACAGTTGCGAACATATTGTTGTCCTGTTTGTATATATCTTTGTATAACTCCTTATCAATATTTTTAAAGGTTTATCAGGGATTTGTAAGGGTTTTTCTTCGACCACGCTAACCTTGAACACTACTGAACCGATTTGGCTGAAATTTTTTTTGGCTGTAACCCGACACTCTGCTGAAGGTTTTAGTACCACTTTTGTCAGTAAAAAAGTTCATAAAAAGTTAAAAACAATTGTAACTATATTGTGCGGCACGGTGGGCCGCAGGTTTATAGCTACCTACAACTTGACCTTTTTTTTTTGTATCGTGTTTGACATCTAACAGGTCATCAAATGATTTAATTAACATTCGTCAATAGTACAGGCGCGTCCAAAAACATTTGCCTAAATTAGTAATAGTTTTAATATTATGAAGTGTATGGAAAATACCGATCAAGTTTTGCGTTATCGAAAAATACTCTTATGTAATAATACTCTTGCCAACAAACGTGTTACCATTGATTATAAATATATCCGCCTGACGCCGAACGCGTTTTTCCGCAAATAGTGTTTTATCTATTTTTATACCTACATTGTTAATCGCTAATATAATACGCAATACCTACTGCTTATCTAACAGCAGGTTATTAGCACATAGTTCACCGCACGTGGCATCACGGGCTCAGTCTGAGCTTGGTAGCCGTCGAGTGTGGTTCTTTGCAACGTACACCGCTTTGGTTACGCACTAGCATAATTTGTACTTAGTTTTTTTTACCTTTTTTTTTACCTAAATTTCGGGTAAGTGGCCAATTCTTTATCATGCCGAGAGCGCAAAAAGCACGCTATGGCAGAAGAACTGCCAATGCAACTCGAATGTATAACAGAAGACAACAAAATAACACACCAGAACGTTCTCAAACACTTGTACAGGAGCAACGTAACGCTTTGAGTATGAAATCAGCGTTTAATTATCAATCCGAGATTGATTATTTAAATATTAAAGCGCTTCAAATTGGACGAATGACTATATTATGTGCTAAGTGCCATGCAAAAAAATAGAAAGATGAAACCCATGGACTTTGCTGCGCTGACGGTAAAGTTGTTTTACACCGATTTAAGGATCTTCCAGACTTAATTAAAAGTTTAATTGATAATTCTCACCCTCTATCAAAACATTTCTTTGATAATCCTAGACGGTATAATACTCTGTTTCAAATGACATAGTTTGGAGCAAACGAAATAGGGAACTTCATGCCCTCTTTTAAATTTCAGGGTCAAGTGCATCATTTAATAGGTAGTTTATTACCCTCAATTGGAAATAATGCTAAATTTTTACAAATATATTTTATGTCAGAGTCGGATCAAATATCTATTCGAACAAATATGATTACAAATTTAAAAAGAGGTCTTATTGAATAATTGCAAAAGTTTTGCGTGAAAATAATCACCTCATATAGAGCTTCAGATCTAATCTGGAGTCGAGGTGTTTTGATGAGTTGCAAAACTTTAAGTTAATTATTCATGCTGATAGAGTTCCTCAAAATGAACACAGAGGTCAATATAATGCACCAACCATTGATGAAGTAGCTGTATTATTAGTTAATAAAGATAAAGGTCCCAGAGATATAGTTCTGCACGGTCGGAGTGGACACTTGAGTCGAGTTTCCGAATTGAATAAATTTTATGATGCACAGCAATATTCATTGATGTATACTAGAGGCGAAGACGGTTATCACATTAATATTTTATAGAAAAGTAACCAAAATCGAACAAAAACTGTCTCCTGCATGCAATTTTATTCTTATAGGTTTATGATTAGAGAAACAAGTCTAAATCATCTACATTATTACAAAACATTATTCAGCCAATTCGCCGTAGATATGATGGCAAAAATGATTTCTGAAAGACTACACTTTATTTGTAACCATCAAAAACAACTACGTGCGGATGATTATGTTCATCTCCGAGATGCTGTTAACAATGATGCAAATATTAATGCTAATAACGTGGGATAACAAGTAATTCTTCCCTCCTCTTTTACTGGCTCCCCAAGTTACATGCATGAAAAAAATCAGGATGCCATGACTTATGTTCGTAAATTTGGCCGTCCAGATTAATTTATTACTTTCACATGCAACCCGGAATGGCCGGAAATAAAAAACTAATTATTTCAAGATCAAAAGTCGTTTGATAGACACGATATAATTTCTAGAGTTTTTCATCTCAAACTAAAAAATTTATGTATTTATTAAAAAATAAATATATTTTCGGTGATGTAAATTGTTATGTTTACAGTGTTGAATGGCAAAAACGAGGTTTGCCACACTGCCACATTCTTTTGTGGTTACAAACGAAAATTTAACCAGATGAAATTGATAAAATTATTTTTGCCGAGATACCAAACAAAGACAAAGATCCTATACTTTATGAAAAAGTATGCAAGAATATGATTCATGGCCCATGCGGCGAGTTAAATATTAGATCGCCATGTATGAATAATGGAAAATATAGTAAGAAATACCCTCACAAATTGGTCAACGATACTCAAACTGGAGAAGATCCTACTTATCCGACTCACCGACGGAGATCTCCAGATGATGGAGGTTATACTGCAATATTAAAAGTTCGTGGTTGACAACCGTTGGGTTTTACCGTATTGTCCAGTGCTATCTAGGTGCTTTAATGCGCATATTAACGTAGAATACTGTCATTCGATTAAAGCGATAAAATACATATGTAAATATATTAATAAAGGATCAGATAAAGCTACTTTTTCTGTTAATCGTGAAAACGATGAGATTACAAATTATTTGAAAAGTCGATACATATGTACTTCTAAAGCGTTTTGGAGAATTTTCAATTTTGAAATCCATGATAGAGATCCGACAGTTCAGCACTTGGCTGTTCATCTAGAAAATGGACAGCGTGTTTTTTTTAATGCTAATAATCTTCATCAAGTTATTGAAAATCCAAGAAAAACGACACTAATTGCATTTTTTGAATTGTGTTCACATGATGATTTTGCGACCACACTGTTCTATCATGAAGTTCCTTCTTATTATACCTGAGATGATAGCAAAGGCTGGTTAAAGAGAAGACGGGGAAAAGATGTTCCAAGTTGGCCAGGAATAAAAATGAACACTACCATTGGTAAAATTTACACAATTCACCCAAATCAAAGTGAGTGCTTCCATTTAAGATTGTTACTAAATTATGTACAAGGTCCTACTTCATTTGAAAGCTTGAAGGCCTTTGATGGAGTCATTCACACGACTTTTAAAGCTACCTGTTTTGCTCTTAGGCTTTTAGAAAATGACGAGCAATGGAGAAATGCTCTAGCGGAGGCAACTCTTTCAGAAAGTCCTTCAAAATTAAGAGAATTATTCGTAATAATCGTAGTTTTCTGCCAACCGTCTGAACCTCAATCTTTGTGGGAACAGTTCAGAAATGACTTTGTGAAGATATTCTTCATACAGAGCGCACTCGATTAAATGACTTGCAATTTACTTTATCTGATAAAATATTTAATAGAGGTTTGATTGAAATAGAAAATAAAGTTGTTTGTCTGTCAGAAAAATATTTAACTGAATTTGGAATGAACTCACCTGTTCGAAATTAAAATGTATCTGATCTTTTTGAATTCTCAATATTGCGTTCTTACGATAATAACTGATTACAAGAATTTGTAGAAATCAATTTACCAAAATTAGTAAATTATCAAAAATATGCTTTTAATGTTATTACAGAAAGCGTAATGAATCATCAAGGAAGAGTTTTTTTTTAGATGCTCCGGGTGGTACAGGAAAAACATTCCTAATTAATTTGTTGTTGGCTCAAATTAGATACTCAGGTAAAGTTGCATTAGCAGTAGTTTCATCTGGTATAGCAGCAACTCTCCTTAGTGGCGGCAGAACTGCTCACTCGACTTTCAAGTTACCGTTCAATGTATTATTTGATACAGAATACGTTTGTCCGAATCGTAAAAATGGCCCTCTTGGAAAAATTCTTCAAGAAACCTCATTCGTTGTATGGGATGAGTGTACAATGAGTCACAGATCACGTATCGAAGCAATTGATCGAACATTAAAAGATCTAAGGTGTAATAATAAGTTTATGGGTGGCATAACATTTGTTTTCGCTGGTGATTTCCGTCAAACCTTACCAGTAATCCCTAAAGGTACTCGAGCTGATGTCGTTAATGCTTGCTTAAAATCTTCCCCTATATGGAACTATGTTGAAAAACTTTATTTGCGAACAAACATGAGAGTTTATTTATGCGGAGGGGACGATATTTTTCCAGCACAGTTGTTGAAAATTGGAAATGGAACTTTAGAAAATGAAAATGGTTACATTTCACACGATTGGACGGGTGATCAATAACGTGGAAGAGTTGATTTCTACAGTTTATCCTGACATTTTTAATCTGTTCAATAAATCTTATCAGTGGTTATGTGAAAGAGCTATTATCTCTCCGAAAAATGTAACAACAGGAGAAATTAATGATATCATCCTTCTAAAATTCGATGGACACTCACGTGAATATTTATCTATTGATACAGTTACATCAACAGATGATGCTATTCATTATCCACAAGAATTTCTCAATTCTCTTTCTCCTTCTGGGTTTCCTCCTCATAAGCTAAAATTAAAAATTGGTGCTCCAATTACATTATTACCTAATCTTTAACCACCAAACTTATGTAATGGTACAAGATTACAAATAAAATAGTTGCGAAATAATATTATAGAAGCCGTAATTCTTACAAGGCCAGTGAAAGGAGAAATTGCATTTATTCCAAGAATTCCCATGATTCCCTCCGACTTGCCGTTTTCTTTCAAACCGCTTCAATTCCCGGTTAAAGTTTCTTTTGCCATTACCATAAACAAAGCGCAAAGTCAAACATTCAAGTACGTTGGCGTACATCTTCGTACAGAGTGCTTTTTACATGGGCAATTGTACGTGGCATTTTCTCGAACTGAGAACCCGAATCATGTTATGATTTTAATTTCAACAGGAAATATAACAAAAAACACCATATACTCAGAAGTCTTATAAAATTCTTATTTTAATTTTTTTTTTTCTTTTTTTTTCTTCATCAACTTCAATCAAATTCTTTATCAACCATAAATTATTTCTTTTTATCTGTATTTATTTTTATCAATTATAACGCTAGAAAAATTTCAATCCGTTTTCATTAACCGTTTTTTATTGTATTTACTTGCCGATCACATTAAACAATAATATTTGAATAAAAAATTCTACATATCATGGTCCGAAGGCAAAATAAACAACCAATCACGGGCGAAGCTGTGACGGGTCGGCTGGTATACATATATATATATAGATATTATGTCCAACGGACAATAATTAAATAATTGTTGCTAATCATATTGTTTTGGCAATATTTGCCAGGTCATTAGAGTATATCTATAGATATTTTTATCGTACATCTGGTGTACGCACACGTCTGTTACTTACACAATTGGATACGCATATACGAGTATCATAAAAATATAATCTATTAATACACATCATTATCAGTGTTGGCCCTGAGCTTTTATTTTGTGTTTCAGTTCAACGAAAAAAGTAATAATGAAAAGTTCGTAAAATAATATTTACAATTTATAGTTTAACTGCGATTTTGAATCAGCTTTAAATTTAAATGATATATTTTCTCGTTCAAATAAAATTATCATCACCTAGAGAGATTTATTTTTCCTGCAGGACGTCTCACAATGCATTTTTAGGTGACCAAAAAACGTGAAAATACTTATTTTCCTTTAGTATTTGATTGTGTCAAACAAAAGTACGTGAATAGATAAATAAAATCTAGGCCTTAGAGAAAAATTGGGTTCGAGACTTTACATATACGTCGGGATGACACACCAGTCATTGTTGTTTACTTAATTTCTAATTTTCTTGTTATCGTTTTTGATATAATCATATTTTTCTTTCTCTCAGTCTAATATAACGCCTCATCGTGACATGGATTTTTTAATACGAATAAATAAAATTATAGATTCATATAAGGCCGTATCTGTGGGGGGGGTCCAGGGTGTCTGGACCTCTCCGAAATGTCTTCAATATTTTACGAATGTTTAAAATACTTATTTATTTTTAATACCAATATAAATATTTTCAGTCAAAAATGACTTAAGCTCTAATTAATCATTGACTGCTTTTAATTTTATATCATAATATCATATGAGAATATGATGTTAATTTTAGTAAAAGAAGATTGAATCCTTTTCTGTCTTATTTTTAATCAAATATCAAAAGTTAAAATCTAAATTCAATAAAATTACAATATAATTGTTTTGGACCCCTTCCGAAAAAATTTCTAGATACGGCCTTGGATTCATATATCAGCCGATGGTGGGAACCCCGCGTATGAAACTTACCGGAATGGTGTTTGTACGCGAGACCTGGTAAAGTGGACTGCACACAACGATCGATGCTATTGCTTTCGGAGCAGCAAGTGTTGAACGGCTGCTGCTGATCTTCTGGCGACCGTTTGCTGTTGCACGGTAGCGGCTGATTGACGTGGCCGTACAGCAGGGACGCGCTTTCGTACTCGTAATCCGAAGGCATCCGGTTCCTCGACCCTCCGTACTTGTTTGTCCGGTCGAGTCCCTGACATGACGAGAGGTTGCACACGGGCGGGTGCGATGAGTTGGGCACCTGTAATTGATGAATAATGAGTATATTGAAATCCAACACAGGCACCGGGACCCATGCTCGAGTAGGGTGCCCTACAATTCTTTGGAATGTTCTCCCTTATTATTAGTCGAATCATTGTTACGGGTTTTCGGAAAAAAAGTGCGTGCCTGGATTTCGTTTTAACCTACAACATTAAAATCACTTTGGCATCGTTGAGTGTAGATGTACGAGGGGTGTTTTTTCTTTCTCATATACATTTGCCAACTGATCTTACCAAGCGATTTATCTTACGCTGCAAGTATTCTATAATTGCGGATAGTCCAAAATAAACGTTTTGTAACGTATTTGTGACTGAGAATAGAGTGTTTTTATTTTAAATATACTCGAGTATATTTTTACACGTTATAAACATATTTTAATTTGTTATAATTTTTTATTTTATATTAAACATTTTAAACGCGCTTAGTTTTTTTTAAGTATTCTAATTATACAATTAAATAGTTTAACAGAATAAAGATGATGAAGTATAATATTTCACAATTCTGTTGCAAAAAGTCTATGAAAATTTTGTTTTTTATTTCGGCGTACATCGATGGACAAATTTTAAAATTTGAAGGATACGTACATGTTAACTAATAATAAATTTGCTAGGATGTACATATTAATTATATATTTGTTTGTATTAAAGTAATACATATTTTTATCACATATAGATATTTAAAATTATAAGTAAATAAGTATTTTAATTTTAAATAAAAAAAATAGAAAAAATTGAGTTTTTGAATGAATCGTGAGAGCAGAACAGTTTCAACGGGAATTTTTCTTTTTCGGCTCTTAGAGTTTTGAGTTATCAACATTTTAAATATTATTATATATATAATACACTCGAATTCCATTAGTGATAACAACGATTATCTTTTAACATACTCTCTAAATTACGTACCCTCAGTAAAATTTAGAAACTATAATTTATTTTCTGTACTTTTCAATATGCTTAATGAATTATACCAGAAACTACATAGTATATATTATACTCAATTTTTTTATGCTTAAGTTATTTAAATATAATAATATTTATATTTATATATCAAGTTGTATTATCTAATGATTATATTTATTGTTTTCGGGCGTCTGCAGTCGGTTAACAAATAAGAATAAAATTACTTATTTGACATACGATTCAAGTGGCGGGCGCATAAGTATTCCTCGAACGGATCGATAATCAAAATAATCAACTACACACACTACAATAAAGCTACATATTTTGTATTCACTGTATTCACATCAAGTACTTCTTCTATTCGGAGAGTACGATTGAATAAATAAAAAGTTATTTGTAATATTACCCGCATAATTTAGAAACATTATTATGAAAAAAATAAATATTGTGAATATTTCATACGCCGCAAAACAGAAACAAGAATATGACAGTAAAATATTGAGTATCGTCCTATTGATTTTATCATCTTATTTTAAAAACTTTAAGTGTATTGAAATAATTTAAAATTAAATAAAGATTTGTCAGAGAAGTAATCTAAATTATTAGAAAAAAATCCGAAAGTTCTACTTTTATGTTTATTCCGGTAAGTTATAAACACAAATAGTATAATTAATAAACTATATATTTTCTTAACTTATACCTATAGATAGATATATGGTTAATTACCGGAGGTGGTTGAGTGGAAGGAGGTGGATTGAATCTGTGTTCGTTGCTCTGACCGGTGTAGATCCATGCAGGTGTGTAGCCGTTGCAGCTACCAGCTAAGGACTTACTGGATTGGATATGCGATGGTTTAGAAAAATTACCGGCGTGCATGCGGCGACTCGTCTGGGGACTACCACCGTTGGACTGTAAATAAGAAAAAAAAAATTCCATTAGATGAACAAAATCAATTGACCGCAAGTGAGATATGAATGGTTGAAGTACCTGAGACGTTTTTCGCATAGAGTCGGTAGGAGGGTGTTGAGGGGGTGGTGGGAGGAACTCATTCCAATTCGGGGGCGGCGCTTGATTGATCGGATAAATTGGCGGTTTCCGCTTGTGATTGTTGAAGTCAATGTTTTCGTCTGCGCAAATAGAAATAAATTAATCGATTATGTGATGCACGCACATCACAGTATTAAATAGTAAATTATACTTTTATATACATCGTACAATAGAGATTTTACTTACCAAGATAATGGTTAGACGCAGTTACTTGTTCGTGGCAACGTTCATGGCAAGATCCATTGGAGCTAAGAGTTTTTGTTTCGGATGAACTGCTTGCAGCTCCGAACAAATGAGTTGATTCCTTTAAATGCAAAAAACACGTTAATCAATAAATAGCTGAAATACACGCGACGATGATAATGAAGATTAAAATAATTTAAACATTTGTGTGTCCACGTACATAGGCAAATAATATGGCAGATTTTTTAGTGTATTTGTTTCTTAAAATATTTATAAACTGAGTACTATATATTTGTAAAATCATACTTTGATTTTTGATAATTTAATTGACCTCTATTAAAATATTTTAAGCCACCCACATGATAAAAAAGGTACGAAAATCACAACTATTTATCCTGGACAACGTTTTTAACTATAAACGATTAGAGAGTAATATAAAATCGATTTTCAGGATCGTAAAATACTTACATTGCAATCGTCTCTGTTTAGCAGTGTTGTCGTGGCGTACGGCGTAGGATTTGACAACATCTCTTTGCGTGGGTTGTAGAACGTTGATAAGTTTCGCGTGTCCACTTCGGCATAGTCTGCGCAAGTAGTCTCCCGACCTATACCGTTCAAAAGTTTCGACTCGGGGTCCTTCTCCCCGTTGCGCCATCCACGGTCGATCCACAACGCCTCCTTGCCGCCAGCGCTCAACATGCTTAACTGAGACAAGTCACCGCTGACCACTGGTACTGTAACAAAAAAGAGATATCATTAAGAATCGATATCGATTTTCAATAAATCAGTAACAGGCGAGTGTTTACCGTTGAAATGGCCTAACTGTTTTCCCGCGTTCTGCTTTCGCTTCAAGTACACCACGGTAACGATTACGCAAGCTAACATGACGACCAGGGCTGCTAAAAGCACGATGATCCAAGCTTCACCGTTGGTCGTAGATGAGTAGGCTCGGGACGGGTACGCTGGATCCATGATGATCGGCACCGGAGCGCTGTAGGGACCGTATCCACTCCGCGTGTACGCCTGAACTCTGGCAGTGAAACTGCCACCCACAGTCAAATTGAGCAATATCATCGTGGTCGACGAGTTCAGCAGTTCTTGTACAGTGGCTCTAGTAGCGTTGTTGTTCTTCACTTGTATCTAAAATAGAACAAAGACAATGAGCAATATTAAAATCCATTGGTTCTATAACGTATTATATTATTATGTGTTAACTCACTTTATATCCTACTAGCACACCGTTAATGTGCTGCGGAGGAGGCGCTGACCATCGGATAAACGCGGTAGTAGCGTTTATCATACCGGTTTGAACATCTTCCGGAGCCGCCGACGGAGCTGTCGTGGGGATAAAAAATGGTTATTCACTTAAAAAAAGTAGGCGAAAGCGTAATAACTTACCATCCTCTTTAGTTTGTACTACCATCGAATTCGACGGTTGTCCTTCGACAGTCTTGAAGAATGGCACTAAGAAGAAATCGTACTTGGTAAATTTCCGGAGGTTGGCTAGAGTATACAGCTTAGGTTCACCGTTATTCATCATCACCGTCATCATGTTGTAAGTTTGAGAGCCGCCCGATAAGTCTCTGAACCGAACATGAATACCTTCTACCCATTCGGGATTGTTCATCACCTGATACACACATACGAGCAACGTATTGTTAGTTTGCCGCCGAGTGTCGATGATGCACTGTGCGTACGTATATATACATACCTCCCATATGATTCTGACCGAAGTAGACGATATTGCAAACAGTTCTTTGAAGTCTATGATTTTGGTGCCGAGACGCTCCCTGGCTTCTTCCAACGATTGTTGCGTGATGATCGTATTTGTCCCTCCGGTTTTCACCATGGCGGACAACGCGCTTGGAACGCTTAGACCATGCGAGTTTTCCGCCCTCACCATGAACACGTAAGACGTGTCTGGTTTCAGATTTTCAACCTATTCGCAATGTCAAGCCAAAGTCAGAACGTGGTCGAATGTTTCAGCGGTTGTTGCGCCGAGCTTGTATACCGTATGTGTATACTCACGATCATGGTATTGGTCGATATGCGATGCGCGGCGACTACCCATCCGGTTTGCAGGTCGGAGCTGTAATACTCGAGCGTGTACCCGATAATCGGCGACGCGCCCAAGTGCGGAGTGGGCGGCTGCCACGTGACTGTGACGGAATTTTTGGTTACGTTCACGATGGTTGGCACTGAAGGGGCTGCCGGGAACATGGCTGGATCAGGGGCCCGGTGGAGACGTAATCCCGGGGATTCCTCAACGCTCAGCGACGCCGACCAGGAAGTCTCGCCGTTCTCCGAAGACGCGGTACACGTGTACAGACCGGAGTCGGATACTTCTAATTCTATAGAAAAATTCAAACACAATTATAATCAATAACCATCATTATCGATAAATTGTATTCGGTAGACATTTTACGTTTATGAAGTACATCTGTGGTTAAATTTCAGCAATTGTTTAAATTAATTTCAACGGGGTTATCTGTAAGGCTTGTTTTTTTTTTACAACGAAAAATAGCATGTTGAATAATTACGAGTATATATGTACTTGATGAGACATTGGAGTAAATGGTAGTATACACACGACATAATATATTCGAATAAAACAAGTTTTAATTAAAAATGACTTAAAATAAATATCAAGAGAAATTTTTTATTTTGAGAAAGAATAAAGTATATTCAGTTTTGATTTTGGTGACATATTTAAATATAATTAACAAGTACAACGAGCGATTTTAGTTTAAGTTTTATTTTGCAGTTCAAAAGAATTCTGAAATGAAAGACTTTTTAAAATTACATGATAAATAATACGGTAATATAATCATACTCGGCAGTATTTCTGTTTTTATATTTAATCTTTATTACGAAGCAAAACTTTACAAAGAATTCAGTTCAAAGGTATGAGATAGAAAGTTACTTCTTCTCCCTTTAGATTTTGAAGAAAAATAGTCGGAGTAAACAATGATAATAATATTACTTTATTATTTATTTATGCGAATTGAAAAATAAAGTTTAGAGCTGAGTACTATAAAAAAGGTTTTCCCTTTTGTGTATTAAGTAATATAATAAACGAAAGAAAAATCACAATAAAAAAACAAAAAAAATATAATACAATTGCTTACAACCGCGGTATATTGATATTACGTAGGGGTGATTGGAGTTTCGATACTTATTCGGTTTAATGTCGTATTTGAAATTATCGTTATAATAATAACTGTAATAACAATGTAGAATTGAATAAAAACGTTCTTACCATCAATTTGCAATGTTCCCGACGACGTTATAGTCACTCTAGGATCGTCTGGAGACAAATAATTGCCGTTTCTGTACCATTTGATAGTGGGCAATGGTATACCAGACGCCTGGCACGGTAACGTAGCCGCCGATCTAGTTGCGAGCGTTTGGTTAGTAGGCCCGATGTCGACAACTGGCGGAGGAACATCTTGCACGGATGTGACCTGAAAACGTATTGGAAAAAATTTATTTGCTAATAATTACGAAAAACATTAGGAAATAATTGATTGTACAGTTTTATTTTTTATTTGAATTACTATTATGTATAGCGGATACAATTTTACATGATTTCACATACGAGTATAGATGGAAACAGGGAGAGGAAAATTGCCGTCTTTAGCATTAGGTTCATACTAATGCTTTGCATTGTATTGGTATGGTTGCGTCAAACGTGTTATTTATCATTCAGATATGTTAAATTTATTATTATTAGGGTTAAAAAAAACATATAACTAATTTCAATTTTTTTCGTTTATCTTTAAATCTATACGCTTTAAATTCAACCTGTTTTTTATTTATTATTAAGCAAGAATGATGTTAGCGAATTATATTTAATTGTATGCATTGAAAATTAACGTACTTGTAAGAATGCTCTCCAAGTAACTGATCCGGCGACAGACAGCGCTGAACACACGAGGAACCCGGTGTCTTCTTTTTGAGCGCCTTGTATGCGCAAAGTGCCCTCTTGAGTTACATGAAAGTGTCCGTACGAATTTCCAGGAAACATGAGTACTTGAGATCCTTCACGTGTCCAAAACACCGACGGTGGAGGGTTGCCCTGGGCTACGCAATCGAAATTTGCAATTCCGTTGAGGCCCACTTTCTGATCCTTGGGTTTGGATACAAATGTTGGCGGGGCTAAATCATGAGAAGCGATTAACATATGATTAATATTTTATAACATTTATTTATCAGTTTAAAAAGTAAGTTAACAGTTTTCGTGAGCATTGAAAAAGGAAATTGATTTTTTGAGATGTACGAACAATTGTAGGATGAATAAATATAATCCTTAATTATTATGTATTAATATTTTTTTGTAGGTATTTTAAACATTTTTATAGCATCCTCATATTAAGAATTTATACCAATCATAATATTAATATTGCTCTATAACGTTGATACAACGAATAGTTTTTCAAAAACAAATGTGATGTGATCTAATGCATAACAGGAATTTAGTTAGCATATAATGTATTTTAAATGTTCAAGTTAACACTTAAAATAAATATGGTAAAGCATAGAAAGAAAATGAAATAAATTTGCTTTCGATATTTTATGAAGTTAACTAATAGGCCCTACGATTTCTAAATGTTCTAACATGTATAAAATTATTATAAAATTAGATAAACATACAGTGAACAGTCAATGATGCTTTAGCTTTCTCAGAACCCACGTCGTTTTCGGCATTACAAACATAGAGTCCTTCGTCTTGAGCCATCACATTGATGATCCGCAGTGATTTGTTATCTAATATTTGAGCCCGTCCAAAAGGCATTTTACTACCCTCGCGTTCCCAGTAGATGTTTGGTTTTGGATCACCGCCCACCTTGCATTCGAATTCAGCTGTTTGTCCGGTATGAACGGTAACGTCTTTAGGTTCAGTGTTCATAAATGGTTTCACTGTAAAAATCAAAAGTTTTTAAGAATTTATATGAACTTAAAATTAAATGATATATAATCACTGCCTAATACCTTGTAGTCCATATTTAAAATTATTCAAAAATAACACACACACACACACACACACACACACACACACACACACACACACACACACACACACACACACACACACACACACACACACACACACACACACACACACACACACACACACACACACACACACACACACACACACACACACACACACACACACACACACACACAAATATATATATATAGACAAGTTAAATAGACATTTATAGTTTACACTATAAGAAAATTGCACTAAAATCATTAACATCGTAATTATCAGAATTAAAATGTTGATGCTATAGGTTATTCAACAAAGTTGACAAATAATTGTTTATCTTGTTTTATAGAAGATTAAGCAACATGGGTTCACTTTGTAATAATTGTTAGTTGAGTAAGTTGTTTTGGTAGCGTAGATTTAAACTTTATATCTGAGGAGGGGTATGGATATTACTACCGGAGTATTTTAGTGGGTCTTAACCCGTTAACTTTAAAGGGATATTTATTACTTAATTAAGTGATTCATAATTAGTTTAGCCAATGATCAATGTGTAAGAATTTAAAACAAGTTTTTAATTAAATTTATATTTCAACGATGAATGCGATTAAACGTATTTAAGATTCACTGAAAAATTATAATCGAATATTGCATATACAAGATGTAAACGGAGATGGTTGTACAATTTATACTTTTATACTGTATTGATGAGACGTTTTATGACTGTATAATTTAAATTAGAGATAGAATAAATTTCTAAAAAAACAACATCTACTTTCGAGTTTATATAATCGACGTTATATTACGTTGTAACGACGTTCGTTGTAATTTAAGTTACCAATCATATGAATCATTAGATTAAAAAGCGTTGAATGTACAATATATCATGTGATACAATTAATAATTAAAATATGTATTATAATAATACCGTGTGACGGTGGTGAAACGTCAACAGACACGTGTACACGAAATTATTACTATTATAAACTTTTATTTCTTTATTTTTTTCGAGTCGCCCGCAGGTTTTTCATACGTTTGGTCTATGCCAAATGAAACTGGTGTCCCCTCACTTGGCGGATTAATGACTTTCTAACAGCAGTATTGCTGCTGGCGGCACAATATTTTCTAAATGTATACGCGTTTTTTCAAATGGCCCGTACACTGACGACGTGCGCCTATTGTGGCGTCCAAAAGGGAGACGAATAAAAAATAAAAAAATACTCACACACACCCACACACACATACATATATAACGGGGAAGAATTTATTGTACAAGAGTGAAAAAATGCTGTCTACGGTGGATTGATATAAATTTATATATAAATATATTCGTCTAAAAAAAAATTGTTTCCGGGGCATTAAACACCGAATTTTTCTGCGAGTTCTTCCTATGTGTAGTATACAGAGTACAAGTTTTTTTTTCTTCACACTTAATGGCTCATCTATCAAAATTTTGCGAAGAATGAATGCAAACTAAATCCATTCTGCAATTTATGTATTTTGTATACATGTATTCATTTCGATTAGGTCTGCCGAAAAAACTTTCAAACGATTCCTGAAAGATGACTTAACGAAAAGATAACTTGAAAAAAGTACAAGTTAATGGGTACAACGAATTTTTTTTCCTGTCCTTTGTAAATTAAATACATATATAAATTTAAATTATAAAGGATGGTACACGTAAATATATACACAGTCTCACAAAAGCGCATGCACGCGCATAAAAAAACCTTTCGTTTCTGCATATTACGATGTGATGTCAGTAGCAACTTTTTTTATTTTTTCATGTAAAATGGAATAGAGCTTTTCATAGGAAAAAAATATATTGACTCGACAGGTACGGGTATTTATTATTCCTCCCGCGTTTTTTCTCCCGCGCATCCGGATATTTGTACCCTATATAATCGAATTCCCACATGCAAAAAGTAAAAGAGATCGGGACGTTTGTCTGTATAAATATTGTATAATATAGGGTGCACGCACATAGGAAACACTCGATTTCGACCGTGTCGAATTCATAGTTTTACGATATTTTTCACAATGCTTATATATGCCATATATTATATAGGTAAATGGGAAATTCAAAATGTAAATGTACCCATAAATGCAACGGAAGCCTTAAAAAAATGTTCAATTCATTCGAACGGTTTTACGATTCTTATATAATAATATAAACTACAATACATTACAAATCTTGACGTATTTATCGCGAAGTGCTTTTAGTTTTCATTCGTATGGTTTAACGCCATGTATTAGGCTTTAAGTCTGAATATATTGTGTATTATAAACATATACTCGTATATATATTATACGTACCATTTATGGTCAATTTGGCTGGTGTGGATTCCCTCATGGCAACAATGTTTTGGGCCACACACAGATATTCGCCACCATCGTCTTGCCGGACGTCCGTAATCATCAGATTGCCACCGTCTACGATTCGCATTCTAAACAAACGTTATACATATCAATATACTATACAAAATTATAAAATGAGCAAAATTTTTACGTGATCAACATATTATAGACGTGAAGGTAAATCAAAATAGTGAAAAAAAACCTTGAGAAATATACACAATTGTAAAAAATGAAGGAATAGCTACTAAATCAATCACTAAAATTCTATAATAATAGCGCAGTATATATACATTATATTTTAAGCTATATAAATATACAATGACGGATACATTATATTCATTTGTATGATGCTAGTGCATCATGTATACTATATTAATAAAGATACAAATATAACATACATCAGTGTATTATGTATATTACGTATAATAGACGGTTGACTGCGATCGCGAAGAAACGTTTAATCTCGCACAGTATACCGCCTGATTAAGTTATTACACGTTCATGTTCTATTCATAAAATTAATACACACGCTGAATATTACACTCGTTAGTTGAGTTGTAATGAAAAATGACTAGAAAACGGTCATTAAACATACCTTGTAGTCGAGTCAATGTGCACGTCTTCACCGTCTTTCTTCCAAACGACCATTGGATCTGGATGACCTTTCGGCGGACTGCACTCCAAGAGTGCCGTTTGTCCCTGAGCCACTTTCGTGTCTTTCGGTTCTACTCGAAATTCATCTTTCAATACTGTAAATAACATAAACGACAAGTATAAATACATATTTCCACAATTAATTACTGTATAAAATACGTGTATCGTGAATAATATGTATATTTTGTCAAATATTAATGTGTAATATGCACCGAACTTGGTAATACATACACACTTTAACAAATTATCATTGATTATAAGAGAAATAACATGCGGTACGTGAATGTATTTCATACGAACATTTGATAACTAACATAGGTTTTTTTCGGATTTACTTAGGTAAATAGGTATACATTATATACGCAGGAATATCCTATGCATATACCTGGACACACACTCATACATACATATATATATATATATATACATACATACATATATTTAAAAAATGTAAACTTGTTTTCCGAATCGTTGCACTGCATTGCATATAAATAAATTCGGATTAAACGCAACAGATTATGCGTAAACATACAATGCGCTGCGCACACGTAAATTAATTCAGATTAGATCCCACGGCGGATTTATGCAGATTGTTTCGTTTGGCGGTAGCAGGATGCTGTCGTGAAAACGGATGAATTTGAAATGTATATGATGCATACAAAAACGTGTTTCGAGTGTAATGAAATGTTTTTGAGACTATCAGCCAGCGCCGTCGGCCATGGAGCGATAATTTCGGCCGTCGTCGGTTATTTTTCTTTTTCTCTCGGTTAATGGCTAATTTCATAAAGGGATTAAGACCGGACGAGTTGTTAGGGTAGATAAATATTGACAAGAGGGTCATCATCGTCTCCTCCATGTGGTTTTCTTTTACCCTTATACACGCGCGCGATTGTGTAAATATCATATTCTTCCCTTACCAAATATCTGGTGTTCGTTGGCATGTCGCAAAAGAGAAAAATGGGGGATGAGAGAAGCATGGAAAAAAATGAAAACACAACAATGATTCTCTATATATGTGTGTATGCCTGTGTATTTGTGTATAATGTACATTACGACTTCTGGTTTTTGTTTGAAAAAATAACGAAATAGTCAAAAAAGGTAAATGTTTTCTTGAAAAATGACCATTTATCTAAAGTTTCTTAATTAAAGAGGTGCGGCTAATGTGCCTTGCACTATATCTAATTATATCTAATTTGCTTGTAAAAATTATCGTACAGATAACAGAATTAATTATTTTTAAATAATAGAATAGAAATACGTTCACACTTATTTGTGTGTGTTCATACTAATACTTTGGTATTGTTATTATTTTTTCGCATAGATTATCAAAAGAAGCCGTCGTCCGCTTTTAATATTCAAATGTATATTAAAACAATACTCATCGGTGTTTGACAATGATAGTACGCGCCTTGAACGAATATCAATGAATGCCAAAAATGTGTATCGAACTATGAACAAATAATTAATATTCGATTCACGTGTCACTGAGTATACCCAGACATGACAACTAACATAATAGTTAACCACGGGAAATTATGATAATGTTTAACGATGTGAATTTGAATATTTTCGTTGTATCGGAAAAAGTTCTACACCGCGAAACGGAAAATTTAAATATATACACACATAATATTAAAGGCCGCGAATAGATTAGCACATACGAAGAACTAATGGGCAAGAGGGAGAGAATTTGAAGTCATAAATTACCATAGAGCTACGTGATATATATTTTTATTAATTCTGAGAACTTTAAAAAAGTCCTTTGAAAGCCTCTTCTACCCATTAAAGACGAACAAGCGGAGGAATTCTAAATGATTTACCTTAAATATTTATATAAATGTTTATATATATATATATATATATATATATATATATATATATGTTACGGGTATTGTTAACATTTGGATAATGTCGACATTATCCGGCTAAAGTCAACATTAGCCAACTTTTATCATTACCCGCCATGAACATTATTTAATGTTGGCTAATGTTATCATCAACCGGATAATATGATATTAGCCAAGAACTTTTGGATAATATCTTAACAACCATAATAATTTAACGTGCATGAGATAAAACCATTGTAAATTATTAACAATATTAAATATATTTAACATACGATAAATTAGGAATTACCATAAAATACATAATATTATTAATATGAATTTATTTTTTATTTTTAATTATCTAACCTACTAATGATACAATATTGAATTTAATTTTATATTATAAATTATTTCTTAAAATATTATTTTAAGTACCTATAGAATTAAAACGCTAATGTTTTAACCTTTATTATTACATGGCATGCTTCCGTGACATTTTGAATTGCACAAAATGCTAGATGATTTGCATTTATACAACGATATATCAAAATATTGTTCACTTTATCGGTAAGATAACTGACTAACTCGGTTACAAGTCAAGATAAAATATTATACTCTGGAAGTCCGACGCTTTATTATTGTATAGAATACTAATAAAAATTCTATAGTTTATTTAATATACGACTTTTAACATTATCCAATATTGACTGGTTAAGGTTAAGATTATCCGGTTAATGTTAATAATTCCTGCTTATAAACGAAAAATTATACATTAGCCATAACAGATGACTAATGTTGACATTATCCAAATGTTAACATTACCCGTAACATATATATATATATATCGAGTGCATTGCAAAGCGGACGAATCAAAACTAGCCCGATGACGCCAGTGTTATCTACAGTCGAATGGGAAAACAAATACTTGGTATATTATATACTAGGGCAGGTTATGGACCGAAAACTACGAAATAATGACGCGTAGTCAAATGATATCGAATTACACTTTTAATCGCCATTCCCTGTAATTACAAATCGAAATATTTTAAAAATATAAGCCCAACGAAACGGTATATTTTATAGTATCCAATAGTTTCAGAACGTTGGAAGGTTGAAGTGGAACTAACAATTTTAGTTTAATTTTAGCCCATTAATTATGTACAAATAAGAAAATGGAATAATAAAATGTCAACGAACGACAGTCACACTTTTTGGTGTATACTTTTTTTTTGGTTTTGGAGCGCCTGCACCATGTCGATTTGACATTTCTTTTTTTTTTTAATATCCAACGAAAGTATGTTTAAGATTAAATAAAAGTGGGTTCTGTACATTCTATATGTACATAATGTTCACAATAAAAATAGGCTTTTTTAAATCTACTTTTTTTTCAATTTATCTTAGTCGATATTTTTCGATATCTAGTTAATATATTACATACACATTTATAGCAATAATTTGTGAAGAAATCTTATTTTTTAAAGAATCTTCAAGTTACCATGGGATCCTAAGTAAATTGAGCACAGTGGCGATGAGAGAGTAAATAAACACACATTGTAATTCCAACGGTCGACAAATAATTGTACGAACACGTACGAGTACGTTCGACAACCGTAGTAACCGGTATCTAAATAAAATATATGTATAGGAAATGTGCAAGGAACTCGCACAATTGAGTACATAAACGTTAACAATAAAAATTCAAATTTTACTGGAATATTATCTTAATAACATGAACACACATATATACACTGGCCAATGTCCGACGGTAATATGTTTATACTATATTTATAATATACAACTGTTTCGAAAAACAAATAATAATAACCGATACGATTGATTTTTCCCTAATTCGGTTGAGACGTGATCTCGGGCAAACACATATAATATTACGTATCCGAACACGAACGCACGTGTAACACAGGAGGAAGTTATTGGCCGGTAATGAAGAATATTGATAAACGACCAACAACCGGCCGTATTTAATGAGGTGTAAGAACCGGCTACCGCGGCATCGGTACGCGATTGTACACGCGACGTCACGTCGACATACGTACGTACGCACCGTAAGGGCAATGGCGAAAGGAAATGTATGACTATTTGTCTAGCGGCGCCCACTTGAAATTCAAATTATTATTTTAATAATAGTAACACAGCAACGAGATGATGATAAGTACATGTGCCGACTGATTACGAGAAAAAAATAGTAAAAAAGGGTCACTGATGGGCATTTATTATCGTCATTGAAGACTACAGAGAGAAAGAGAGAGTTGTTATTTTAACCACGGCGTAAATATACATAGGAAAATATATTATTATAACGCAACGAAAATTTTTTTCGTCCCTCTTGTTAATAAGACCACCGCCACTGAATAATAATTATAATTAACTTGAGTAGCGTTTGGAGAAAATATAAAACATAATTCTTAATAGGCCTTTTGTTTTCAATACACGCGTCCCACGTCATATAACGTCCTGGACACGCGCGTGGTGCAGAGAGAAGAGTTAATAGTGCCCACACGCACGCACACGCATGGAGCAATAAGTCATATTTACCGCGTGTTACGAAAAATGGATATTATTAAAAGAGTTATACAGATGCTAACTTTATATACATATATATAATATACACGAGAAAAGAGTAGGATTTTAAAGTCCCAATGAACCAATTCTAATTTTACACGTGCCTACCTTTTTCAATTTGTAACAGAAAATCTCGTAAGACTTTTTTTTTACTCCATCAGAGTAAATCGTAATATCCTTTTCTATATAAACCTAAATTGGTCTTAATAACTTTTAAAATGAATGTATTCGATGTATATTCATATTAAGTTCGGTTTGCTGCTGGACTTATTCTGGTCAAGCATTTGCAATGAACCATATATGTGTAGTGCAATTAGAATAAGTGTGTGTAAACGTATTTTATTATTATTTGTATACATAAAGGAAGAAATGTACCTAACCATTTATTAAATAAGTTTCAACCTTTACATATATATGTACATTATATATATATATATGCTTTACGGCGATGCAGCAAAAGTAGCAGCGCTTTTTCTCTGGAAACATCAACGAAAATTACTATTATTTGATATACTTCTCAGTTTTTATCTATTTTTTTCGTCCCCGCCTGTTATATTTATGTGCGTGTAATAATAAATCAACGGACACATCGCTGGAGACTTCCACGGACATTCCTGAAACATCTGATAAAGTACCGTTCCGGACGTCAGGGTCGCAATAAACGTTAGTTGGTGGGTAGCCAGTGAGCT